TTACTGGCAAAACCCACTCCATAGCATTTAACAACATAAAGTGTTTGCTTTATGACGGTCATAAAAAAGCTCGCAAAATCAGGTCTGGTTTCATGGGGAGCTGCTTTGTAACCATCACGACTTAAGATCATAATTGTGGGCTCAATTACACACATAATTCGGAGGACTACCTGTACTTCTAACAGATTTTAACCTTTTTTCAATAAGAATAATCCCAAAGCCGGACTGAATATAACAAACTGATATACCAGATTGTTTCTGGCCATCACAGAGTTTAATGGCACACCGACACAATAAAACATACCGTATTTTTCAGAGTGTAAGACGCACCAAAGTATATGATGCAGCTTAGTTTTTGGGAATAGGGAAAAAAAATCTGCCTACCAGGTATTCATCTGGCTAGCGTCCTTAGTCTGGTCAGCTTCAGCACATTAGTTTGCTGGTTTTTTATCCCCTGCTTGGGGATAAAAAAACAGCTTCTAAAGCACAACTGATCTTTGGAGAGAGAAGCAATGAGAAAAGCAGGCAAACCATGGAGATTGCTTCACTCGCTCGCGCCTCTTTAGGGCTGAAAAAAAGCTTCAGAGCTGAGAGTGGGAGGGAGCAGGCAAAGCAGGGAAGCAGAGATTGCTAGCGCCTCGTTAGGGCTGAAAAAAAGTTTCGAAAAAGCTACATTTGGAGTATAAGACGCATCCAAATTTTCAGCCTCTTTTAGGAGGGGAAAAAGTGTCTCTTATACTATGAAAAATATAGTAGTTTTAACTGATCATTGGAAAGAATGGGTATCTATTAAATAATTCCAACATTCAAATATCTGTGGTTGACAGAACATACATCATTTGTACTATTATGTAATTGGTCCTTTTAATCCGTTATTCAGATCTTTTTTCCTGCAACTTTGGTAACAGAATACACAAGAAGATATGGAAAGTATCTTTGTTCAAACCTTGACATTCCCAGTTTCAAATATGACAGACAGAAAGGGTGAGAAAGAACTGCTACCCAAAACTTTGAAGAGCCATTCTTAATCAGAATAGACAGCAAGATGATGTAATACTGTGACTCTATATAAAAAAAGTCTTGATAACTTTCTTGGATATATTTTCCCACAAATGAGATGCATAATCTGCATTTGTCACTGTACTGCTCTGCCCAGAGAAAACTTAGTTTTGTATTAATGAATACTCAAAGAGGTGAATGGTTCTGTTTCCTTCAGTGGCACTATTAAAATCTTCCTGTTCTTTTACAAGAAATCAGGAGGGTGTAATACAGGTAGTCCTCAATTTACAACAATTCATTTAGTGACCGTTTGAAGTTACAAGGGGACTGAAAAAAGTGACTTATGACCATTTTTCACACTTACAACCATTGTAGCATCCCCATGGTCATGTGATCAAAATTCAGATGTTTGGCAACTGGTTTATATTTATGATGGTTGCAGTGTCTCAGGGTCATGTGATCCCCTTTTGCGACCTTCTGATAAGCAAAGTCAATGGAGAAACCAGATTCACTTATAACTGTGTTACTAACAACTTCAGTAATTCACTTAACAACTGTGGCAAGAAAGGTTGTAAAATGGGGCAAAATTCACTTACCACCTATCTCACTGAGCAACAGAAATTTTGGGCTCAATTGTGGTTGTAAGTTGAGGACTACCTGTATGCTATAGTACAGTATTCACTTCTTGGGAAGGGAAGGATAGGATACATATTAATAATATGTGAGAATGAAGGATTGCACAAGTCAGTCTAGAAAAACCAATCAGTTAAAGCACAATCATATTTCCATTAGCATTGAGAAGAGCAAGAGGACTCTGTGGAAGTATTTACACATTTTCCAGTTTCCAGACACTTAGAATATGTATTTAGCTTCCCTATTCCACAGGGACAGTAAGATATATTTTTTTCTTCTGTTCAATCATGTCCAATTCTCGGAGGCTGCCTGCACAAGTCCCTGTAGTTTCGTTGGCAAGGTTTTTCAGAAGTAGTTTGCCACTGCCTTCTTCTTAGGACTAAGAGAAAATGACTAGCCCGAGGTAATCCAGCTAGTTTTATACCTAAAGTAGGACTAGAACTTGGTTGATGCCTTAACCACACCAAACTGCTCTATATCTATCATATACCAAGTTATTAAAGATTCTCTTGATAAATTTATTATATAATTTAAAAAAAAAACCCTCTAAAGATACTGAGGCAATTGTCAGGACTTTTTGGTTGCTAGAGATTCTTTCAAGGCCACATGGATATATCAGTTTTGTGGTGTCATTCCTTACCCTTACTCTAATTATTTTTGAGATGTGGTTATTAAATGTAATTTAAAGTATTTTCGAAACATAAGCATCAGTATTTAGAGATACTAACTCCTCCTGCATTATGATTGAGTCAGCAATCTATTACCTTTTGATAAGGTAAGCAATTTGATAAATCTCATATTATTCCAACAAGATCACACATGCTGAAATGCTGAATAGAAAATAGACTATTACAAAACAATACTCTCTACCCTAATGGTTTGTTTTTGGTGGCAATATAAAGAAGTTCAAAATAAAAGTTTACTAATGTGAATAGACTAGACTAGACTAGACTAGACTAGACTAGACTAGACTAGACTAGAATAACAGAGTTGGAAGGGACCTTGGAGATCTTCTAGTCCAACCCCCTGCCCAGGCAGGAAACCCTACACCACTTCAGACAAAGGGTTATCCAATATCTTCTTAAAAAACAGTCATATCGTCACCGCTACCGGCTCGGCGGAACCAGGAGGAACCCACCACTGGTGCTGCCTTACTCCAGAACAACAACATGGGTACAAAGAAATCCAAACAAGCAGGTCTGGTCCTTGAATCTGTGAGAAGTGTACCTCAGGGGGACAGTGTCAGGGACCTCATAGCACCAGAAACCTCAAAAAACAGTACCAAGAGACTCAAACCAGCCCTTCCCCCTTTAAGAAAACCAAGAAGCACCATCTGAAAGAAAAACACAAAGCAGCCCTGCTAACAGATAGAACAATAGAAATACTTAAGTAGAGGCATTAAGATAAGGGGAATCAGGCTAAAAATTACTCACCTGGGAGCCCCCTTTTCCTCTTTCCTGGCAGAATTAACCCCCAGGATAGCAAAGACAAAGCCCCAGGAACAGGATTAACCCATTAAGGCAGGAAGACAGGATCCAGGCCCATCACTTTAACTAAAGGCACACAAATAAACCCATCAAGCTGAAGGTGCTTCAAAGGGGAATTAAGAATAAAAGGTTCAGAGTCACACTTCAAAGTTGGATTGCAACCCAGGAACCACAGCTTGAGCTGTGCCACACCTGCTTTCTTGCCTTCCTTCATCAAAGAATCCCACTTTCTGGCAGCTGCTTCAGAATTCATTTCTTTTCAGAGTCCGTGGTTTTTCCCCAGCTGGGAACAAACTCCGGGAAATTTCTTCCAACAAATCCATACATGTGAGAGGCAACTCATCACACAGAGCACATGCGGGTGCATGTGGCAGCCTTCATCCACAGCCCGATGCTCTTCCGCAGTGGGCAACCACAACTCCCACCATCCCCAGCCAGAAAGTGTGGTTTGATATAGCTACAATAAAAGGGTTATCGGAACATGCTTTAAATGTATACTGTATACTGGAGTCAAAAAGAGGGCTGTGAAAATATTTACAGACCCCTGGCATCCTGGACATAAACTGTTTCAACTCCTACCCTCAAAATGACGCTATAGAGCACTGCACACCAGAACAACTAGACACAAGAACATTTTTTTCCCAAACGCCATCACCCTGCAAAACAAATAATTCCCTCAACACTGTCAAACTATTCACTAAGTCTGCACTACTATTAATCTTCTCATCGTTCCCATCACCCATTTCCTCCCACTTATGACTGTATCTTCGTTGCTTGTATCCTTATGATTTATATTGATATTGGTTGGTTCCTGATTGCTTATCTGTACCCTATGGTTATCATTAAGTGTTGTACCTTATGATCTATGATGAACGTATCTTTTCTTTTATGTACTCCGAGAGCGTATGCACCAAGACAAATTCCTTGTGTGTCCAATCACACTTGGCCAATAAAGAATTCTATTCTATTCTATTCTAAATGCTGGCAGGGAATAATGGTCGCCGGGGGAAGGAGGACCGCTGTTGCTGCTGTTAAAACTGCTGAGCCTCAGGCAACCATTGCAATACCCGCTTCTTCTAGCCCAGTGTTTCTCAACCTTGGAAGCTTGAAGATAGGTGGACTTCAACTCCCAGAATCCCCCAGCCAGCGCTGCTGGCTGGGGGATTCTGGGAGTTGAAGTCCACCCATCTTCAGCTACCAAGGTTGAGAAACACTGTTCTAGCCCAAAAAAGGAAACAGCTGTCCCGTTACTACACGCGCAAGGATGCCCACGAAGGGATTTTACCTAGACTCTACTAATGCAATCCTCTATGTCAGTGTTTCTCAACCTTGGTAGCGCTGCTGGCTGGGGGATTCTGGGAGTTGAAGTCCACCCATCTTCAAGCTACCAAGGTTGAGAAACACTGTTCTAGCCCAAAAAAGGAAAACAGCTGTCCCGTTACTACACGCGCAAGGATGCCCACGAAGGGATCATGGGGGGGGGAAAAAAAAGAGGCCTTCGGCCGACGACGCTGTAGAGCTTCCAAGCACGCCTCGCTTCTCCCTTTCTCCCTTCACCCTGCGTGAAGCAATCCCGCCTCGGCTGCTGCTGCTGCTGCTGCTACCAAACCCCCTCCCACCACCCTGTCCCCAAAGCGGGAGGCAGCTACTTACCGAGTATACAGGGGGGCCCCGCCGAACGACTGCCCCGGCCGCTGCGGCCATCGCCAGGCTGCTTTCTCCTGCCGGGGTGCCCGGCTGCACTCACTCCTGGCTGGCTGGCTGGCTCCCTCCGCCGGTTAACCGGTAGCACCCATCCACCCGCCCTTGCTTTCCGACGCCCTCGCCGCTCCTGCTCTGCGAAGCCTGGGAATCTGTCACTCGGGGAAGAAGGGCGGAAGTACCAGACGGGCGCCGCCATCTTGTCCGCGACGGTATTCGCGCGGGGCCAAACCTCCTCTGGGCCGGTGATCGCCTTTGGTGGGGGGGAAGGGAAAGGGGAAAAGAAGCGGCATGGTGGGAATCGCGGGCGGGCAGAGCCCGTCGCCCAAAGAGGACGAGAAGGAGGACTTCGCTTTTGCAGAAGGGCTGCTGGACACCGTCCTCGGTTCCCTGTATGACTTCGGTGGGTGATCTCTAATCCCAGGGACTATGGGTTTCCCCCTGTTCTTATCGTGGGACCCCTGCTCCCCTTTTTTCTTTCCCGTTCCGGATTCTTAGCCATCTCCTGGCTCTCAATATTATACTAACAATATTTCTGCGGGGCAAGGGGCTAGACTAGAGCAATGAAATGGATGCTGGAAACAAGGGGAGCTGGTGGAAGTGAAATCTTGGGAGAACTGAGAAACCTTCACGTGTTATATAGTTGCATTGATGGTTTTAGTAATGTAGTTCTTTAAGCCAAAGCGAAGCGATCCGAAACGCCCAGTTTCCGGCCATTGAAACCTACCAGTCTTGATTAGAGACCCATAAATCCAAGAGGGCTTTCAAGCAACAAGGCAGCAGATAGTTTATGGGATCTATTTTTTGTTCATTCCGGGCAGAAACCCTGTTCTACATACCCCAAGGTCCTAATTTGGGTTTCTTAGCAATTCCACATCTGCAAATTGTTTTTGAATTACTGAATACAATTACTGTTTTCACGTTTGGTGTGTTATGATGCCCAATAATCTGTGGATAATAAGAAGATACAATAGGTAAATTATTCTGTATATACTATGAATGTAGCTCTGTGTAGATCCCCTTTAAGTTCTTACAGAAACTTCTGTGTTCTTCATTGTTCCGAGTATCTACATCTAGGTTCTAAAATACTAAATGCTCAACTGTAGAGCAAGTTTGTTAAAGTATTTAGCTAAAATTTAAATACAATAAGAGAAATATGAAATTATATATATTTAAAGATGCATAAATAAAAAAGGTCTCATTGAGCTCAATTTTTATTTTATTTGTTAAATTTATATGCCTCCCAACTCAGTATTCAGAATGACTTATGGGCGGCTTATAATGTAATAAAAATAGAAATTTCAAAACAATTATTAATATAAGAGCAATTAAAATTATAAGAATTAAATACAGATCCCCAATACAGCAGTTCCTAGTGAGTATACAAAAATGCTTCTGTTTTTATGGCAACAGTACAGATTTGCTTTCCATTGCCGCCTTTCAGGATGCTTTTTAGCCTAGAAATTTCCTGATATTCTCTCATACAAATAATAACCAGGTCCAAGTTTGCTTGGCTTAAAAAAAAGTTCAGCCAAGGACAACAAGATGCTGTCATCTGCTACAATTTGTGTATTTATGAGTTCATACATATCTGTGAAATGTAAATATCAGTATACATGGCACCCATGATAGTACTTAGGAAAACATTCTGCATAAAAGTAAAATCTATCTCCTGTGCTACCCAGATGAATGTGCCAAATTGTTCCTAGTAGAACCAAGAATTTTCTAACAATGTTTAAGAGCTTATAAGAAGTGTAGGAAGTTGGCACCCACACCTTTCCTAGAAGAATGAAATATTTTGGGAAATATTAAAAAGGCAGAATATATTTCCTTGGATGAGAAATGGAGAAACATGTTTTAAAGACAAAGCAGCTCCCACCTTCCTGCCTCCCCCCACTTTTGTCAGTGGGCCAGAGGCAGAAACCCAATTCTTTGTCAAAGGACCATCATCTGCAACACAATAGGACCTATCTAGCAACAGAAACTAACATAATGGGATCCATCTAGCGACAGAAACTCACCACATGGCACCTGGGAAGATTACATCAGCCAGCAAGGCTAGCTAAGACCCCCACCCCCTGGGAGTCTGACAACCAATCAGGATACTCTTTCGGGGCCCCAGGAAGTTCAAAGCCAGAGAGGGCATAAAACCCGGGGGACTCACAGCATCTCTTCCCTTTTCTGTTCAGGAACTCAAACCGTGTGATCCTGTCCACCATCTTTCCAAGCAGTCTCCATGTTTCCAGAGTCTTTGTCCTCACTTGGAGCTGAACCCAGAAGGATATTTGTTCCTACAGAAGTATATTTAAAAATAAAACAAAATATTTTAGCATGATTTACGAAAAAAATGTATTGGAAAAGACTTTTGAGAACATCAAAAATAGTCAAGAAAATAAACAATTAAGTCATAGAACAAATCAGTCCCAAATTCTTATTTAAGGTACAAATGATGAGGCTCAAACAATAATTCTCTGGGCACAGAGAAGACTTAGTTCCCTTGAGAAGCCTATATAATGCTGGGAAAAGTGGAAAGAAAGAAAAAAGGCAGACAAGCAACAAGATGATGGATTTGATTACAACAGCAAAGAAAATGCACCATTGAAAGATCTAACAGGCTTGATTGAGGACAGATCATTCTGGAGAAAATCTACCTATGTGGTTGCTAACACTTGAGGCTATACTGGTAGCACTTAATACTGCAATTTGTGGATATGAACAGTGAATTCTGAGTTCTGAGCATGATAAAGTGTGTACATTGCTACCCATTTAAGTGGGAGATGTTTTGTTTGATTTTTGTTTGTTAAAAGTAAAATATTCAGCATAATTTAAATTTTCAAAAAATACAATATTTTGATCCTTCTGGGTTGAATGGAACAAGGGAGATGAACATGTTTGCTTTTAAACTATAGGTGAATCACCACCAGAAAAATGCAAAAAGAAAAAGAACAAGAAAAGACACTCCCAACAGATAACAGCAACAGTGGCCACTCCTACTATATCACTTGTCAATCCTGAACTTCGTACATCTTCTTTGGGCAAGAGAAAAAATGTGTCCAACTTCTTTGACAATCTGAAAGATGAACTGGCAAGTGTTCATCAGAAAAAATGTATCTCCGGTTCCAGTTCCCCTCATCCACTCCCATTCAAAAGTGCCCAAGAAGAAAAGACAACACAGGTTGAAGTTGTGAGATTCCAGGGTCGACACAAAAAGAAGAAGGCTAAATTAGAAATTCCTGGAAGTGATGACTCAAAGGTAAGGCGTTCATGTTTAATTCCCTCATGTTTGGAGGCAAAACATTCAATTTATAAAAGAGATTGCTCAAAAATAATTGCAAATCACCTTGAAAACATGACTGGTCTGCTTGCCTACAATTATCACCATATGATCAAAGAGAAAGAAAGGACTTTTGATTTTGTAAATTTACTCTGGTTATTTAGGAATAATTTAGTTGGCTAGGTAAATTAATATTTGCAAGCCTTTTTTACTGTATGGGAATTCTTCATAGCGCAATGTTCATAAATATATTCAGTGTTAAAATTATATCACATTTAATTGCCAGGTGAAATGGGAATAAGCATTTTGTCACAATACTCAGCCTCTTTATTCTTCTTTTTGCAAGATGAGTATATTGGGATAGGGCAAGATTTCCCCTGTCCAGTTGTATCTGACTTTAGGGGGCGGTATTCATCTCCGTTTCTTAGCTGAAGGAGGCAGTGTTGTACAAAGACATTTCCATAGTCATGTGGCTAGCATGACTGTACGCTGAGGTACCTGGAACATTGTTACCTTCCCACCAAAGTGGTACCTATTTATCTACTCGCATTTGCACGCTTTCGAACTGCTAGATAGGTAGGAGCTGGGGCATGTAAAGGGAGCTCACCCTATTGTTTTACAGGGGTGTCAAGCTGTCAGTTCAGCATCTTTAACCACTGAGCCATCACACACTCCCGATTATCAGAATACTTTTGATTAATTCATAGCTTCTCATTTTCTTTGAGCTTGAGATGTTATACCAGGTACAAAAGAGGTCCATATATTAATTCAATTTTGAATTGACCTACCCAGTCTGGTCTGTGGAAATTCACATAACCATCCATGCAATAATAAAATATGTATCTTTTTGCTACCATCTCTTGACTAAATGTTTTTTTGCAGCCTAGATCTGGTAACTCTAAATGATTTTCTTTAGAAAAGATCAGTTACTAGTCATAATTTTCTGTATTAAACAAAATAGGAGACTATGAGTAGTTTGTGCTTTCAAATAAGATGCCTAAGTGTACAAAGCCATACTCAAATTTCAGCTTCTTAAGCCAAGGCAAAATTTGTTGAAACAAGACCAAACCAAATCACTCACTTACTGGACTTCCACAGAAATTAGCAGTTGTGGAAAACCGAGATAAAATTTAATTGGAATTCTGTAAAATTCTTTTATATTTTATGATCTCTGTCCTGGCTTTTGTGGTCCTATTTATTTATTTGTTTGTTTGTTTGTTTGTTTGTTTGTCCAATTTATATGCCGCCCTTTTCCGTAGACTCAGAGCGGCTTACAATGCATTATAGCAATAGCCTGCATACTTTTTGTATATACCTGCTTATTAGGGCTTTCCCCCCCCGCCCCCAAGCGGTGTTGTTCTATACAAAGTTGGCTTATTGCCCCTACAGTCCGGGTCCTCAATTTACCTATCTCGAAAGGATGGAAGGCTGAGTCAACCTTGAGCCTGGTGAGATTCGAACTTGCACTAATTGCAGGCAGCTGGCAGCTAAGTGATAGCACTTAACAGCACTTTAGTCTGCTGCACCACCGAGGCTCACTAACCGATGTCCAATCTAATCTATTGGCAGGATTTTTTTTCTTTTGACAATCTTGCAAACTTTATTTGAGACAATGGGAATTATAATATAATATAAGAAGAGCCTTGGTAGTACAGGGGTTTAAGGCACCCTGTTATTAAGCTGGTTATTAAGACCAGCTGCCTGCAATTACTGCAGGGTTCGAATCTCGCCAAGGCTCAAGGTTGACTCAGCCTTCCATCCTTTCTAAGGTAGGTAAATTGAGGACCCAGTTGTGGGGGCAATAAGCTGACTTTGTATAAATATACAAAAGGATGAAGGCTATTGCTGAGCACATTGTAAGCCGCCCTGAGTCTTCGGAGAAGGGCGGCATATAAATCAAATAAAAAAAAAAAATGAGTCAGGTTAATGTGGTACTACTTCATTTCTCAGTGTTTCTAGCCTATTCTTTCCCAGTATCTATTTTAAATCTAAAAATACCACATGGGATCCACCTGTTACAAAACTGGTTTGGGACTGGCTCACAAACAGGTAGTTCAGTAGATTTCCATGGTTGCTGTTATTGCCAAATACCAGTATTTCAAAAGATTTAAGCAAGAGCCAAATGACTTTAATTACCAGAGTTTTATCATCAGCTTCTGAGGTTAAGACAAGTTTTTAAAATTAGATTTATTAAGAATTTTACATTGAACAAAAAAACTATTCAAAGAAAGAAAAGAAAAGAAAGTGCAAGATATGAAAAGGAATTTTAGAAATATATTGTATGAATGACTTTTGACCTTCTTTTCAACAGATAATTACAATTTTATTGAGTTTTATACTCAAGTGTTTAAAGCTTTGGAGCATTGGTTCACATTATGTAAATATTCCAAGGAGGATTATAAAAAGAATAGAATTCAGAGGGAATAGTAATAAAAATCCTATAGACAAATATATTTCTCCACTGCGATAGCTGTTAAAGATTTGTTTAATCTAATGCCAATTTACTGACTATAGAATCACATGTTTAATAATTTATAGAACATGTTGACAATCGTTGGAGGCTTTCACAAGATGAAAAAAAAAATAGTCCTATCTTAAGACCATAGAAGTAAGTAGGTGTTTATGCTACTATCCTGATGCAAAACTGATCAAGGTAATTACTGTTGTTTATAAATAAATAAATAAATACATTTCTGTGGCTAACAAGGAACACCAATTAGGAACACTTAAACACATTTGTTATTGTTAGTCATGAAGTAGTGTCCGACCCATTGTGACCCCATGGACAATGTTCCTCCAGGCCTTCCTGTCCTCTACTATCCCCCGTAGTCCATTTAAGATGACACCAACTGCTTCAGTGACTCCATCCAGCCACCTCATTCTCTGTCATCCCATTCTTCTTTTGCCCTCAATGTTTCCCAGCATTAGGCTCTTCTCCAGTGAGTCCTTCCTTCTCATTAGGTGGCCAAAGTATTTGAGTTTCATCTTCAGGATCTGGCCTTCTAAAGAGCAGTCAGGGTTGATCTCCTCTAGGACTGACCGGTTTGATCGCCTTGCAGTCCAAGAGACTCGCAGGAATCTTCTCCACCACCATAGTTCAAAGGCCTCAATTCTTTGGCTCTCAGCCTTCCTTATGGTCCAACTTTCACAGCCATACATTTACTTTTTATTTTTATTTACATACATACTTAAACACATAGCCTGCATAAACAGCAAGAAAACCGAGGCCAGCAACACATTCACTTCAACAATACAATAACAGCAACAAAAAAATCAAGCCTCCTTCCTCAGCACTATTGCTCCACTGTAATACACTTGCACAATGCACACTTTTGCGTTTGGCAATCTTTTGGAATGGAAGCACAACACGATCACAGTTTTTTCATTAGCACCCAAGAAATGTAATCTCCCTAAAGCATACAGTTTAAATACACCAAAATGTCAATCTATCAGACCGAAAAGAAACAGTTTTCTTCTTCAATTCAAAATCATTATCAGCCTTACTTATTCTTAGCTAACACTCCCCAGTGTTCTCTTTGAGTATCGTGGTTAATAGTAAAAAGATTGAAATTATTGTCTGTTGTATTGCTTAACATGCTACATCTGTGTGGCTTAAAGAACTTAAAAACAACTAAGCCACCATAAGCCAATCATGTGAAACAACCTGATATTTAAGGTCCATGTTGTTCTGAGCTTTGGACATCTCCTTCCCCCTCTGATATTTAGGTGTGGTCATAAGAAGGAGATTCAGAACATTGTGTTCCTTTTTAGTTTAACTCTGGTTCCTTGTTATGTCCAAATATAGAACAACAGTTTGTCTTTAGTGCAATTGCAGTTCTCAACTTATCACCATTCATTTAGTGACCATTTGAAGTTACAGTGGCACTCAAAAAAGTGACTTGCAACTGTTCCTCGCACTTACAATTGGCACAGCATCCCCATGATCATGCGATCAAAATTTGGCGTGGTGACTACCAGCATGTATTTACAATGGTTGCAGCCTCCCAGGCAGGGATGAAATGCTCCCGGTTCGGACCGGATCACCCGATCCGGTAGCGATTGAGGCGGGTGGTTCGGAGAACCGGTAGCAAATATCCCTGCCCCCCCCATGCCCAGCTGAGCCGTGTGATCATCAGAGGCTTTTTTTCTTTTAAAAGCCTCTGACGATCCAAGCCTTTTAAAAAAGCCTCTGCCAATCAGGCAATTCAGCTTGGATCGTCAGAGGCATTTAAAAGAAAAAAAGCCTCTGCCAATCAGGCAATTCAGCTTGGATCGTCAGAGGCATTTAAAAGAAAAAAAGCCTCTGCCAATCAGGCAACTCAGCTGGGATCGTCAGAACCTTTTGAAAGCATTTTTTTGCAATCTCTTCGCTGAAGAGGTTGTAGAAAAAATGGTTTTAAAAGTAAAAAAAAATTGCCACGCCCACCCAGTCACATTACCCCCCCCCAAGCCACACCTGGTAGTAACACATTTTAAATTTTACCACTGCTCCCAGGGTCATGTGATCGCCACAAGCAAAATCCATGAGGGAAGCCAGACTCGCTTAACGACCCACATGATTCACTTCACTGCAGTGATTCCCTTTACAGCCACAGCCAAAAAATTGGGGATGATTCACTTAACCACTGCCTTGCTTAGCAATCAAAATTCTGGCCTCAATTGTGGTCCTAACTTGAGGATGACTTGCATTTTTTTAAAAAAATTAAAAAATGGCTTGAAAAAGAATCCCAGTTGATTGCATTTTTGTTGTTCCAGTAGTGTACCCCACAAAAAGAGCTCAGTTCTGTCAAAATGTTCCCATCATGGAAAAGCCATTTTTCACAGATTTTTTCTCTTTATTTGCTTATCTCCCATCTATGGAGAGAGAATTGATCCTGAGGTATTTTTTCTTTTTCTCTGTTCTACCAGCAGAAACAGCCTGCTATATTGGAAGTTTTCTTGCAATTTTCTCTAAGAAGGGTTTATTTGTCGGGGCCAAAATTATTTAATTTGATTTTATTCTATTTTTTAAATTTTGTATTGTATGTGTTTTTATTGTTTGGCTGTGCACCGCCCTGAGTCCTTCGGGAGTAGGGCGGTATAGAAATCTAATAAATAAATAAATAAATAAATAAATTCTATAACCAGCTTGTATAGCATGATGCTGCCATGTTTGAATTGACAAAGTTAAGAGTAATTATGTACTTGGAAGACTAAACCAGTTCCAATGTCCAATCCAGATTGGATCCTACAAGATTGTTATGGTCAAGGAATTGGATTGCATTATAACTTGTGGCTAAAAGAAATTGGAAACAAAAGCACATACTAATAAATATTTTATTGTTAATGCTGTTAAAGTGGTGAAATACTAATACTTTAAATGCTAATATCTACGAGACCGTCTTTTGCCACCAATAGCCTCCCACCGACCAGTTCGTTCTCACAGGGAGGGACTACTCAGGGTACCGTCAGTCAAATTATGCCGACTGGCAACTCCCAGGGGGAGGGCCTTCTCTGTGAGGGCTCCAACCCTTTGGAATGAACTGCCCCCTGAGATACGAAATATCCCTGATCTCCGTGCTTTCCGCCGTGCCCCTGATATTCCAACAAGCGGGGCTAAACATATGAACATGTGAATGTTTTTAAAATGTTATCTAATTTTAGGTTCTATTTAATTGGGCCAAACTATGTTATAATAATAATTTTAATTAGCAATTTTATGATGTTTTGTGTATCTATATTTTTCTTGACTGTACACCGCCTTGAGTCCTACGGGAGAAAGGAGATATAGAAATATAATTAATTAATTAATTAATTAATTAATTAATTAATTAATTAATAAATAAAATCAGATTGCTGGATGTAATTAGGGCCAGTATCTGTGTTCTCATCCTGTTTGGTGTTACATCATAATTGCTAAACATCTTGCCTCTCTCTGATCAGATTTGGTACAGGCTGGATCTGTACCAGCTATTCGTATACTTGAGATTTCCTTTAGTTTGGGGCTCTGTTAATTGAATCGCTATCATCTGAACTGAACATTGCATAAGAGTGAGGCTCTCCTTCCACATTCAATGCTATAGTTAGTTCATTTTTCACCATGCTCTACAGCTCCCAGATATAATAAGATTTCGCCTGCAAGTCAATCTTGACTCCTGGGGAATGGCTGGACAAGTCCCTGAAATTTTCTCAGCAGCGTTTATCAGAAATGGTTTAGACAATGCCTACCCTATTTTTTTAAGATCCAGAGCACGCTTATTGTGCAGGTTCAAAAGTCCCATTGAATTCATTGAGACCTACTGTCAGATTAATCTATAATAGTAGCATTGACGTGTTTGGTTAAATAATGTAGTTTTCTATATTCAGAGTTCTGTAACCATCATCATATTCAAAACATCTTGCTCTAACAAATTTCTAGCTTAAGCTGTCAATAGGAAATAATTTGAAAAATCTTACTTAATAGCAAAACATACTATTTTATGTTTTAAATTGTATCTAGGCAAAAATGGCTGCTGAAGAATCATGTATGGACACCCAAGAATTTCGCTTGGAAAAAGTAAGTTAATTTGATGTATGTTTAAAGGCAGGGTGGATTTGATTTAAATCACTAGTAAAAAGACTTGATTTAAATCAAGTCGATTTAAAACATAATTTTTAAAGAGCAACTGTCATCTCTGTCCCTCAGAGGCTCCTCCTCTGACCCGCTGTTGACTCACCGACAGTCCCTTTCACTTTAATGGGATGGCTGATGATGCGGCAATGACACAACAAAGTGAGGGACGTGGCGGGCAGCAGGTGAGTGGATGCCTGATAACAGGTGCTGCCATGATGGATCTGAAATGACAGGTGCTCTTTAAATGTAAGGACTCATTCTTGCTGATAGTTAGAATTTTTTAATATTATTATTTGCAAACAAAATGAAGGTTTCCTACTTAGCTTGTAGAGCTTGGATTCATTAAATGAGTTTACCAAAAATGTAAATATTGCAGAATATATAGCCTCATGCTACATAACTAAACTCCATTTCATGCTCAAAATTAAATTATTAATGTATCTTAAATAGAAAACTTATCTTTAGATAGATTTTTACTCCAAAAGTATTTTGTTAAAATAAATTTGATAAAAACAAAAAAATCTGCTTTTAAAAAAATCCAATATTTTTTTATTTTTTTTAAAAAAACATCGATTTTAATCTACCCTGTTTAAAGGTAAGCACGCGGCATGGAGTCTGATGGAGAAAAGATAGAATTGTCCATAGATCATTAACCAGGCCCCAAACCTACCAGTTTTTTTTCCCCATAAACCAGACTTTTCACAACTATTTAGGAAGGTCTGCAATATTTTAGGCCTGAAACCAGAGTCATACACTCAGGGACTGTTTGTTAAACGCTTGACATTAGAGAGTTTCCCAGCGGCAAATCTATCATATCCTTCTAGTTTCTTAACATTTTTTTTTTTTTTAATTTATATGCCGCCCTTCTCCGGAGACTCAGGGCGGCTTACAATGCATTAAGCAATATAGCCTTCATACTTTTGTAGTTTATTGCCCCCACAATCTGGGTCCTCATTTCACCTACCTTTGAAAGGATGGAAGGCTGAGTCAACCTTGAACCTGGTGGGATTTAAACTTGCAGTAATTGCAAGCAGCAGATGTTAATAACAGTGCATTAGTCCACTGTGCTACCAAGGCTCTTGGTATGCCCAAAATGAACAAAGATAGGTACAGCAATCTGTATCTGAATGAGATGAACTGTCATATCAAAAAATCTGGAAGGAAACCTGAAATCCTGCATCGAATACTCCAGAAAAAGAAATTCCAATCCTTGCTGGATCTCCAGATGTAAGTTATATCAACTGCTGGAATTTGGATTTCACACATATCCCCCTAAGATACTGCTTATTTGACTATTACCTAGTCTCTGGTTCCTCTTCCTATCTCTCAAGGACATTCACACAAACCATTACAGAACTTTACCTTTTTAGGTAGTGACCTAAATGATGCAAATGATATAAAAAGATCTACTATGATGCAGATTACACTCTATGTCCATATTGTATCAATTTGTCAATTGTTCAGGATCGAAATCTGAAATAACAGTTTGCAGTTAACATATGAATCTTGACGATTGTTGACCCCACCCCCCAAAAAATCCCTCAAGTTTTTATTGTCTGTGAAAACAGCTACAGAACATTTCTTCTGCTTATGCAACATGGTGGCATGATGTGTTAGGCAATTCTTCAAATGCGTTTCTTATGAAAATTCAGCTTGTATGCTTATGTTTCTTGGAAAGCAGAATTGCAAAAGGCCAAAGGAAAAAAATCAATTGTCTTTGCAATGTTTTAGGCCCGCTTGGAAGTACACCGCCTTGGAATTACAGGATTTACAAAGAAAGAACAGAGAGTATTGGAGCAAGAACGTGCTATCATGTTAGGGGCAAAGGTATGACATTTTCTTGTGAGTTGAGAGATGATTTACAGAAGAGGAGACTTTAACCTTAAAACATTTCCATCGCCAAAGCCTTTGGCTGTTTTTTTTTTTTTTTTTCAAATAGAGGAGAAATGGCAGGGTCAAAGTATGGGAGAGGTTTGAGATTTCAGAAATAAATTGTGGATGAGCAATGTAGCATTCTTCATCCAGAATTTCTGTATTAAATTCCTTTTAAAATTTTAAAAATAGTACTACTAAATATACTTGGGTATAAGCCAACTCTTGAATTTTTAATCAAAGTATAAAAAATGTACCACCCATAGGTAAACAAACACACATTTTTTGTGATATTTTTAAAAATCCAAAGATTGGCTTATCAGCGAATATATATAAGAAATATGGTATTTTAAAATACTTTTTAAAAGTATTACCGTATATACTTGAGGATAAGCCCATCCACAGACATCAAAGCTTAATTTTGGAAATGTATTGCATTTGAAATGTTTGGCTTATCCACTAATATATATGGGAGCTCTTAATACCTAAATGTGAGTGGTTGCATAATTATTTTAAAACGTTGCCTTAGTATTGAACATATTTAGAAATCTTATGTAATTCAGCTTTTTGCCTCTTGAATTTGTACTGCCAGCAATGCATTCACATCAAGACTTAAGAAATAGAGAAGATGGTGTTTGCATTTCTGTCAAACATTATCTACATAAATGTTGTCTCAAAGCATCCAATCTTTTGAAAGAAATGAGAACAGTGATTATGAATCGCTAATCATTTCATAAATAGCCATATTCCCAAACATCATAGCTACCTCGTTGATAAGGCTTATTTTAACCACATTTCTATTGAAAGCATCAAATTAAATCATGTTAGCATTTAAAGAACCATCATTATACGTGATTGTATTATCACTATGAACTTTTCTCTCTCTCTTTTGGTGTATTTTTTTTTTTTACAAAATACTGAAATAGAGTTATTAAAATCTTATTGCAGCCTCCAAAAAAGGAATATGTGAACTATAAAATTCTTCAAGAGCAAATCAAAGGAAAACAAGCAGCAAAGAAGAAAGAAAATATGATGGTTTGTGTGAAATATTTCATATAAAAACAAAATGTAAAATCAAGTCAGAAAGCTCTAGTACAGTGGTTCTCAACCTGTGGGTTGCGACCCCTTTGGGGGTCGAACGACCCATTCACAGGGGTCGCCTAAGACCATCGGAAAACACATATTTTCAGTGGTTTTAGGAATAATTTTATGGTTGGGGGTCACCACAACATGAGGAACTATATTAAAGGGTCGCGGCATTAAGGAAGGTTGAGAACCACTGCTCTAGTACAATGGTTTCCCGTAAGACCTGGGCTATGCATTTAGCTACAGGAAACTCTTAACAGCAAATTGGTCAATTTCCATTGCATTTGGGACCTATATCTGATTTATGGGAAATGTTGTAAATGACCATTTAGAATGTTCATTCTCCTATTCCTATTTTCTTTAACAGGAAAATAAATCTGATTCTCTGAAGAGGAGAAAAAAGAGAGGGCATGAAGAGAGGTGAGCCAGGATTTCAATTTTATATAAACAAAGTGTAATAAATTGGATTTATTTTTTTATTTGTTTTGGTTGTACTTATTAAGCTTTTTTCACATCTACTGCTAAACAATACTGTAGTTTTGGCATTAAATGACTGAGCCTTTAGCTTCTGTTTTATTTCCTATTTATGAAGCGTAAAGAGAAATAATTAGTGTTTGTCATTGAATGGGACTGGGTAAATATAAAATGGTGGTTCAGTTTCAGAAACAATAGGAATCTCTTAATAGTTTGAAACTTTCAGGATAAAATGTTGAAACAATTGTTATAATTAGAATATTTTTTTTAATATAATTGCCAAACTCTAGAAACAGGTATAGTTTCATTTGTTTTGTATTTATACGTAAAAACATCATGAGAATCTATCCATGTGGTTACAAAGAGTCGACTTTATAATAAAAATCAGTCAGTATATAAACATGTATATATACACAAATACATGTTTTCTTTTTTAAAAAAACAGAAAATCCAAGAAGACAACAAAACAGAACATATTGCCATCAGGACGATTGGGAAAATTTAAAAATGGAACTTTGATTCTTCAACGAAGTGACATAAGGAAGATCAAATCTTCCAAGTTGAATAAATGAACTTATATTGAACACAGAATAGGATGAAGAAACTGGGTAACAAAATAACTCTTTTTTTAAAAAAAAATTAATTGTTCCATTTTTTAAAAAATAAAAACTCATTTAAAGGTTCTATTTGTAATCTGAATTTAATAGTGTATTGTTGATTAATGTGCAATAAGAAGGAATACATCTGAAAACTAAATTTTGCAAATGGTACCAGAATTGCATAATTGTTTCCACTGAACTGGTTACCAACACATATGCTGAAGAGTTCGTCAGAACGTTTTACACTGAAATGAATATGTACAGAAAATATTCTGATTAATTGCTCTGAATTCATTATATTTTTCTACATTTCTATGAGTGTTCTATAGGAAATGGCAGTTTCCAGTATTACTCTTGGGATGACTCTTTAGACTTAATTTGGACTCCTTTATGATGCTCTGATCCATTTTTAAAACTTTGCCTACAGCTTTAATTGTGAGGAAAAATCTAGTATTTAGTATTTGGTTGAAGAAGATCAAATAGTCCTCTTCCCATTGAAAACATCTTCTGTACATCTTCAAGTGCTGACCACATATAATATTGAATGCTAGGAGAACCAGTTTGGTGTAGTGGTGAAGTTGCTATTCTAGAAACCAGGAGATTGTGAATTCTAGTCCTGCCTTAGGCAGGAAAGCTGGCTGGGTGACTTTGAGCCAGTCATTCCCTCTCTCTCCCAGCCAAACCCACCTCACAAGGTTGTTGTTGGGAGCATAGGAGGCAGGAGGAGGCATAACCTCCTTGAGTTATATATTAAAAGGGTGGGATAAAAATATAATAGTAATTTTTCTCTTTAATAAATTCTTAAGTAGAATTGTGTAGGTGTCTGAGCTTCCCAGAGTAGTAGATGGGAAGAACAAAATCTAAACTTGATTTTAATTTTTATAGGCTTATTATCCAATTAAATATTGAATCATTTTTCCCTTGCTGACACATTAAAAATATAATTTGATAATGGTATATGGAGTTCTTAATAGGGGGATTATTTCCAAGTCTTTTGAGTCCCCAGGTCTTTATGCACCTCAGTTCTAGAATGGTTAGAGATGGTGCCCAGATTGCAAATTAACTAAAAAAAGAGAGAATTCTTTCCTGCTTTGAATTTTCATTTCGCGACATTTCGCAGAAAATAAGATGTTTTTTTTAATATTCTGCAAATCTGTTAAAGTGTGTAATATTTAAGGGAATAAAAGCTTTAACAGGACACCATTGACTCAGACCTACAACCTCTTAAATAAGTCTTTATGGTGTAAAGATTGTATCAACATTTTTGCACCTGTTTTATAAGGGGAGTAGAGAAGTAGCCTGCTTAACTTGTCTGCCAAAGAGTAAAATGTGTTGATTTTCCATAGAAAAGGTACATAATCTTCAATGTAATCTGAAGATATAGAACTTTTCCATGATTTGTGTAACTCTCAGAAATATTTCATCATTTCATACTTGTAATTTGGGGAAACTATTCAGTGTCATTCTTTTAAATGACTTGATAGCAGTATTCCAATATTTGAGGGACTGCCACAAAGAAGAGGGGGTCAAATTATTCTCCAAAGCACCAGAGGGCAGGACAAGAAACAATGGTTGGAAACTAATTAAGGAGAGAAGCAACCTGAAATTAAGGAGAAACTTCCTAACAGTGAGGACAATTAACCAGTGGAACAGCTTGCCTTCAGAAATTGTGGGCACTCCATCACTGGAGGTTTTTAAGAAGAGACTGGACAGCCACTTGTCTGAAATGGTACAGGGTCTCCTGCTTGAGGAAGAGGCTGGACTAGAAGACCTCTGAAGTCCTTTCCAGCTCTATTCTATTCTAAATGTAACATTATATATAGTTTTTGTATCCCCATTCCAGGAATTCGGGCAGGAAATGACTTGATCATTTTTTTGGCTTTTCTCCAAATCAAGATTATGATCACCGCTGGCTTTTCAGAGTGGAAGTACTTTTTTATGGAATCACATCAGGTGCTTTACAGGTAATTGGTTTGGGCTGCAAGAACAAGACTACTAGATGGCTGCTAAGAAATTTGAATTTTCTGTATATCTTGGTGGCCATCTAGTGGTTGTTTGTCACAGCTCAAATTTGGTAGCCTTAACAGACATGTTCATCCCTCCCTCTCGTCTGACATTCTTTTGTGACTAAAAAGTGAAATGAAACAAAAATCCAACTTAGTGGTTTTCAAGATTTCATAGGAATTGCTCCTTGGAAGCTTCTTAGGAGACCTGTCTGCTCTAAATTGACTTGTTCTCTCTGGGGTGTTCCTTCTAGGGCAGTGGTGGCTAACCTTTTTTCCATTGCGTGCCAGAAGTGGGGGGGGGGTTGTGTACACACGTGCCCACACCCATAATTCTATGCGCCCTGTCCCCAAGCATGTGCATGCGACCCCCCCACACTCCCCCCCCCCCGTTCCTGGCATGTGATGGCATGGTAGGCCTATTCTTTGCTCTCCCCAGCCTCCAGAACTTTTCTAGGAGTGGGGAGGGTGAAAACGGCCTTCCCCACCCACCCGGAGGCCCTCCAGAAGCTGAAAATGGCCCTTTTGCCAACTTCCGGAAGTTAGCAAACGGGCCGTTTCTGGCCTCTGGGGGAGTGGGGAAGGCTGTTTTCATCCTCCCCAACTCCTAGAAAGGCTCTGGAGGCTGGGGACAGCAAAAAACAGGACTTCCGATCTCACCAGAAGTTGGCAAATGGGCCTCCGGGGGGGGTGGGGAAGGCCATTTTCACCCTACCCAGACTCCTAGAAAGGCTCTGGAGGCTGGGGAGAGAGAAAAAGCGGGCCTTCGCCACCCACCCCCCGAAGGCCTGAAAATCAGCTAGCCGGCACGCGCATGCACACCAGAGCTGCGCTCACGTGCCCACCAATATGGCTACGAGTGCCACCTGTGGTTTACCATCACAGTTCTAGGGCATGAAATCTGTCCACACTAAAAAATTATATGGGATATGTCTCAGTAGTAGGGTATGTGCTTTAAATGGGAATGATCCCATGTTTTATTCTTTATCCCTCCATGGAGAAGGAGCCTGGGTGGAGCCATTGCTGGTCAAGTAAATAATTCGCTTAATAGACAAATATATGATCTAATTGCTTCTGCTTCCTTCCTGCTGGCAGGGGAATTCTAGGAGGTGAGGTCCATGCATCTTAAAATTGCCAAGACTGAGAAATACTGATCTAGATGCTTTGGGAAGAGTACACAATTGCAATTCTATTTAAGCAAAAGAAAATAAGTGAGACGATGGCTTTGGATTTGTTGGCAGTGTAGTAAGAATTTATTTTAAATCTGTAAAACAGCATAAACTTATACTTCATGTTTTCAAAAAGGTAGTACATAAACATTTGAGACAATAAGACAAAAACGTTTTGCTTCCAATTCAAAAAATACAAACTTTGCTACAGGTAAAAAATTAGAAAAAAATTAATTTTTTTTCCTAAACTCCTTTCTTGATCTGGTGACATAGAAGATGTACATTCCACCAGATCTAAGGATATAAACAAAACATGTTGTGATTAGGGGTGACAACTAGTGCAAACAATGTTTTGCTTACTTAACCAGACTTTAACATAACGTGACTTTCTTTTCTTTTTTTTTGCCAACATTTAAGTTAACATCTTCCATGCTTTTATAACTTGAGAAAAAACAGCATTTCTACCTCATGCATTAATTCTAGAACATTGTCATCATACCATGTCTCTGGGCTGTGCTTCCGTTCACTATTTTTTACAACATTATATTTTTATTGACAGTATTTATGTAACACAGGGTTAGGAACACTTGTGAAACTCCAAGAGGAATCCTGAATTTTTAATATTGAAAATAAAAGGACATCCTTTAGCTTGACCATCTTCCAACAAAAACATTTATAAGGACAAAGCCCGCTCCAATGGCTTTCTGCCATTTACGATCAAAACCCCGGTTACCCTTGAAAACCAGCTATTGATGCTACTTTCTAAGTAGTTCTTTCTATCAAACCAGTGAATCTCTGGTGTATAAGGGGGAAAAATAAAGAATGAACCATTCTGTAAGGTGGAATCTTCCACCTGGTCACTTCCCATCGTACTTCCCTGAGACAGATTAAGTGAGTGCAGTGATCCAAGCAAGAGTTTGACAGGTCAGGAATAAATGCTTGGCATCCCATGGATGAACTTTTCAAAACAGTGGGGGTCAGCTCAATGAAACATAATTGGCTGGGTCCACGTGATGCATTGAGTCAAAACCAAACAAGCCATGGTTTGACTTAATGGAATGTGGAAACCCAATCAGGGATTGACTTCCTTCCTGAGCGAAAGGGAAATGGATGATAAATCCTGAAATTAGGGCATTTTAAGAGATACTGTTCTATGAATCAGATTTTGCCAATTGAACTGTTTTTAGACAATTATACCAGTATCTGATCCTAGTACCACTCTTATTCTAGTGCTACATTGGCTGATCATGACTGATTTATGTGTCCTTGATTGGCCCTCTCTGTTATTACATGATGCTGATCATGAGTACATGAGAACTGAGCTATATGAGGGTTTAAAAAAAAAGCTTTGTAATGTAAGTGTGGAGAGTTCATAATAGTCCACTGTAATTAAATCCTGGTTGCAAGCATGATTCCTCCTTTACCCACCCAAACCATTTTTGCCCACCAATGAATTTTGTGAAAAAAACATTGATTCCATCTGTTTATTCCAGCTCTTGCACTTTTTTCACGCCAAAAAGTTTATGGTTAGGGTTATCAATTGATGGTGGACCTCTGCAAATTTATGTATGCTGTAATCACAACAAGGATATCACAGCAATCCGTTATATCTGTGGTGAGCAAAGCATTTTGAAAGCAGATTTTAACACTTGGGGTGGTCAAAAGAGGAACAAGACAGTACGAATAAATGAAACACATAATTAAATTCATTCAGATTTTGGAATGAAAGCACAAATAATTTGTCTAAGTGTTCTCTAGAATTTTGAAGAAGCCCTGATAGGATTATTTTATCCTAAATTTCTACATCACTTCACTGTTCTCTTTGATTTCCAATATTGTCAATAAAAATAGGAAATTGCTTAAAACAACACCAATAATGAACCACATTTTCTGTTGTTTTTTTCAAATTGTTTCATTCTCTTAAATGGGAAAAAACAGATCATGAAAGTTATTTTAATACTATCTTCTGTTTCTTTTTTCATATATTAATACCACCACTTTCTATTCAGGGTTTTGGAAAGTTAAGAGAAAGCCATAATAAAGCTTCTTTAAACTGGACTAAAACTTTCTCCTACCAGCTATCATCAACTTCACCATCAAACTACAAAAATCCTAAATCGGATTTTTGTTTATTTCTGTTCCACACTTTGAACATTACGAGCAAAACTAGAAGTGCAGAATTGCAAGAATGCAATTAATATATATGTCATTTGTTACACACATGAATTTTGTAAGTTTGGGATTATGGAAGGTGGGGGAAGGATATAACGCTTTCCTTCTTCATGACTGAAATCAAAATGACAGTCCTGGAGCTTCTGTTTCTGTGCACTCATCAGTGCTTCTGAAGTGCCCTCAAAAATATTAGAAGCCTTTTCAGGATGGTTATGTCTAAGGAAGAGGAAAGAACTAACAAACATAAACCAACAAACCACTCTCCACATCTTCATTGGTTCCAAGGCTATTCAAGCTTCCTCTATTTACACAATAAATTATGGGGCATCATAATGATGGGATTTTCTACTTCATGAGGAGGCCCATTTTTTGTGGTTCCTGACCCACTCTCCCCTGAAGAGGATCTGCAATGGACTTTTGTATGTAAAGGCCTAAGCATGGAGTGTGGTTACATGTGTTACATTGCAAGTGGAATGGAAAATTTCCAGGCATCCATCACACAAAGAGGACCACTAGACCGAGACATGCATGGTCCAGGCCTGCTACAGGCAAAACAGCTGTGTTTGTGTACAACTGAATCAGTCTGATTGCAACAGTATCCACAATGCAGTGTCTTGAATTGCAGTGCATGACTCCCATCTCTAAATAGTGGCCATATTGAAAGCAGATGGAAAAAGTTGGAATAGCGCATTTCCTCATGCTCTACACATTTAAGTAGCTTGAAAACCAAGTACTCCTTTTTTGCTGAAGACATTTAAAAAATTTACACTACTACAATGGAACTTGACCACTGATCAATAACAAACTACTTAACTACATTACAATGCATTATTTACACTAAGATGATAGGTATGCATACATTACTACATTACATGTGTAATATGAAATATCAATGTCTCCTCTTAAACTCTGTAAATAGCTTAATAGCTACAACCCTACACAAATTAGGCACACTTACTGAAATCTATGGTCTTCAGTATACCTGTTTGATGGATCATGGCCTTTCTATTTTTTATTTTTCATTTTACAGTGGGTGTTGACATGTTCTTTATTCTGTTTTCACCTGGCCAGCTCAATTTTCATGCAGAACAGAAAAAAAACAAGCAACCCCACTGTTCTTTTACCCTAAAAAGAATGGGTTTTTTCCCCTCACTCCCAACATCAGACTAAATGAAAGACTGTCAGACAAAATTACATCAACAAAACTTCAGGGTTTTCTGTTTTAATCTTTGAATAGAAAAACCACTGAGCAACTGCATAGTTCTCTGACATGTTATGTCATAATTATATTCCAAGTTACTTGCAAAAATATTACAGGGAACAAGTTTGTCATGGAATGGAACGAGTTAAAGAATGACAAATGACCGTTCTCTATACTTAACAGTGGTATGTTATGAGTTAAGGATGTCAATTTATCTTTCTCCCTCTTAATGAAAAAAGAATCTAAAGTTGTGGTTGTAGGGTTTAAAGCTTTTTTTAAAAGCACTAAAAAGTGGCTTTGGTCTTCAAGCCCCTTCTTATTTACCACTAAATCCTTTGTAATTTTGTGTAATCCTAAAAAATACACAATTTCTTTTTGCTATGTTTGATCACAATTGATTAGGGGACAGCATGCTTATAGGGGAACTCAACAGAACAGAAAGATTAACTCTTCTCTGAGATTATCAAGGAAGTAATTCTCATACCATTCTACTGCCCAATGCTATTGTTTCTCTAAAGCCATATTGACATGTCTTTTGGCCTGAACCTACAGCAGGGGTGTCAAACTCAATTTCATTGAGGGCTGCATCAGGGTTGTGTTTGACCTCGGGGGTCTAGATGTGTGTGTGTGTGGCCAGCTTGACATCACTCAGGTTGGGCGCCTGTGGCAGCCCAAGTGCTCTGCCACATGCGGCCCTCCCGAGCTCTGTTTTCACTGGCAGAGGGTTGCAGGAGGCTGTCCCAGCCAAAAACGGAGATTGGGAGCCCGTTTTCCCTGGCAGAGGCACCGGGGGCTAGTCCTTCATTGTTTCCAGGGCGACCCCACGGGCCAGATCTAAGCACCCTGTGGGCCAGATGCAGCCCGCGGGCCTTGACTTTGACACTCCTGACCCACAGAAACAGGGGTTCTTTTGGTGATTCAGTTTACAATGCTAAAGTTGCATTGAATTCCACACACCTTCCCAAATGAGGTACAATTAATGAAATTGTGGAAGAGGTACTTGTCTCTAATATTAATGTAAGAATACTAAGTATGATATACTAAGTATATTGTTAAATATAAGAAAGGAGATAGATCATGGGGGAGCAATATAACGTGAGAAAATAGCATGTCCAACTGACCGCATACATGCATGCACTATTGTGGTGGGTGGGTGGATATCATCCCTGAACCAAATATGTAAAAGAACAAGGCTTGCCAAACTTCTTGTAACAAGATTTTTCATTTCTGCATGGTTTTGAACCTCACATTTGCAAAATAAAGCTTCAGGATATTCAACCAAGAGCCTCCGTGTGCCATTTTAACTGCTGTGACAAAGTCTTACTCATATACTTCCTCAATAACCATCCAACTGTTTGGGTTCTACAAAGTCACATGAAAAAGATCAAAAGAAAAAAAGTAAGAAAGAGGGAACAGCAGCATGATTCTATGGTAATAGTAGCTGTGGGATATAGTATCTGGATATGTTTCCCTGGTGAGATCCAGAGAAACAAAGTACAGACTCATAGAAGTAAACATAAAGCAACTGATACTGACTCCAAGCCTTCCCAGTCTACTACCATAACTCCTCCCTTCACACACAGCTGAGTAAATTTGAAGGTGGCAATCTTATTGAATTTATTTATTCATTTTCAGATGATATTCAAGGGAGGAGACTTGTAAAATATCCTTATAAGAGATCTGGACTCATAATTAACATTTTGCATGAATGTTTGCTCTTCCTGGCATTATTAGGTTAAGAAAAGTAATCCCATAACCAAATGAATAATCAAAACAATAAAAATATGTTCTTGTTTTGTTCATAAGGTCTCTGGACGGTCTGTTGCCTGTCAAAGAGATTGGTCCCAGACTCATTCAGGGAATATTAGTTTTGTTCATAGATATATCTGAGTTTGTTACTAATGCTTACTGGAACACATGGAAAATACATAAAGCAGAGCTTTATCTTCATTTAAAAAAAATAGGCCCAAAGACATCAAACTTCATTTATTTTGCCAGAATAACTTAGTCCATCTTTGTAAACTATATTCCTTAGTCTGTTTCATTAGTGACAAATATTTTGCAGAAGTAAAACAGACTTGTTTTTACCTGGCTCCATCTAGATCTCTTACCCTATTACAAGTTGCTTTGTAATAATTTGGCTGCCTACTCCAGAAGATTCTGGGTGACTTGCAAAATCCAAAAAAACAGTAAAGTAATTAAATAAATTAGTTTTTAGCTTTTAAATTGTCAAAGGGGTTTTAGTTTCAATGTTTTAAATTTTTGGGCCACAGTTATTTAATTCTTTTAATAATTTTAAATTTTGTATCGATATGTGTTTTAGTCTGGCTGTGCACCGCCCTGAGTCCACTTGGAGAAGGGCGGGATATAAATTGAATAAAATAAATAAAATAAAATAAATCAATTAGCCCCCTCGCCCCCCCCTCAAAAAAAAAACCAGGCAGTCTAGACTAAAACAAAACAAAAAACATTATTCCTTCCCCCAATTTGTTTTTGGCATTACTGTACTATACATTGACTTTCCACTGCCCCTAAAATAATGAGGGATTTAAAAAACAGATATGGAGCGAAAAATCCACCGGACCTTGAAAAACAACTGATTTATTCCTCTTTAATAGTTTCTTTTTTCACCACTTTTATGGTTTTGCAACACCTCCTGAATGTGTATATCCAAAACGTATTAACCGTCTAGGGCAGTAATCACTATTATTTATTTATTTATTTATTTATTTATTTATTTATTTAATGTATTTATATGCCGCCCTTCTCCAGAAGGACTCAGGGCGGCGAACATAAGTTAAAAACATGTACAACAAAATCCCATTTTAATCCAAATTAACTAATAAATAATAAAACCCAGAATCAGAGTCAGCCTATTTGCTTGAACAACCAAGTCTTCAGCCAAGTTTTTTTTTTTTTGTAAAAAACAAAAACAAAACCCAAATAATACAAATCTGTATTATTTTGTATATATACCACATGATATTGATTGCTTTAAGAGGAAAAAAACTTTAAAGTTTTATTAGCTACATAAATCAGCTGTTTCCTATTCTGCTGAAAGATATCTGAATATAGCTGGGAGAGGTAGATTTAATAAAAACATCAACAATCATAATTGAGATTTGTATAATGTTTCAAGCATCCAAGGTAACATGCATTATCTGGTAATCTCAGGCTGGTTTGTTCTAACTGCTCTGTTTTAAGAATTTCTTCCTATGTTGTTTTAGAGCCATCTAAGATTATGGTAGATCTTCTCTACACAATATAAAATAAGTCAACTGATATTTGAAAGCAGCATGTCGTCAGAGAATTGCTGTATGTCATTGTGTGATCGATCATACATACAGCATCTGCGAAGTTGTTAGTAAAATGGTCCTTGGTTTGGATAAAAAGATGGCTCAGAATTTCTCCCACTTGGATTCTCTCTTTGAATCATCATGAGAGAAAGCACAGAAATGCATGATTCATTTATTTCTGAACAAGAACGGAGAATTCCAATATCCAAGGTTCGCATTTTCTCTGCTTTTTTCAGTACCTCCAAGAAAAACATAGTGCAAGTACAAACAACATGAAGTTATATAAAAAAAATAAATAACATAAACATAAACAAAACATAAACAAAAAAATTCTATAGCAGGATTATAAAAATGATTGCTAAGTATTCAGATTGCTGGGCATTGATTGAAGAAAAATTCATAATATTTCAAAAGAATTTGGCTTTACCCCCCAAATAAGGAATGTTAACTGCTTATTAATACCTAGCATAATAAGCCATGCCATGCTAAACTGTAATATTCTACTAATTACTACTAAATCCACCAGTGATTTTGAATTATTTTTATTATATCTGATCACCATCAATAAGATTGTGGCAAGTGTGTGTGTGTGTGTGTGTGTGTGTGTGTGTTGCAGGTGCACATGCATATAAACTGGGAATAGCTTAACCATGGAATCCATGGTTTATTCAACAAGCTAAAGTTGTCTGGATTCACACAATGTGTTTAGCTAAGCCACATTATGGCTTAGTACAACGAATGATTTGGGGTTCATAGAGGCAGAATGGGTTCCCTGCCTAGAGAAAAGTACTTCAAATATCACTGTTCTTCCTACTAAGCCTGGGTTTATACAAGGTATGTTCACAGTGAACAAGGTCCATAATATGTGAAGTTGTTGAGGTAGGCCTGAAGCTGACTCTACTAAATATTAATAATTTTAAAATCCTGGACAAAAATAGGACACATTTTAAGCATGAAAAAAATCAGAGCATTTGTCATTTGCTACTTTAAATGTCTCATCATATCATTATTTAACAATTAAAACACTCAGAGAACCATTTCTGTACTTTATAAGAAAGTACCTCCAGCCCATACAAGACAGATTAATTTGAATATTCTTTCCTGCAATAGAAAGCATTTTCCCTAAAAGAGTTTTGAAATTAAAAGGGAAAAAAATCATTCCAATTTCATTTGCTCGTCCCAGTATAAAAATTTTCTTCGTCTAGTGTTTCTTGATTTATTGGGAACAAGCTGGAAAAAATAGTACAGATATTGCATAATTATCCTAATATCCTCCCTCTTTTTATATAATCCTTTTCCAAGTACATATCACTGCCAAAGCAATTCCCCAGGATATAGGCAGAAGGAATGTTTGAATTCCAACTGCCAGCTTTTATATTATGGAAGAATTTTGATTAATTCACATAAAAAGCATTATAACAGCTGTATGGCACCAAGCCTTCAGAACCTATTGCTGATGTACGCATGATGATCATAAAGTCACAAGTAGATCATCTCCACCTCAAAATGAAGAAACACAGACATAACTTCAGCACATGGACTTAATTAAGAATAACGATTAGGAGCCAAATATGTATGTAGAACTTTGATGATCTGCCTAATTTCTTTGATTGTGAAAAGCTGATCTAGATGCACTTCCAACTTTATCATAGGTTGTCATAGCAACACGACCTCAAATGTCATATGGTGAGATCTGCCCCATTATTAAAATTTCAAACAAGACAGAGCATTTGATTTGGATTTTAAAAAATGATTGGGTCCAAATCAGTTAAGTAGAATCCTCTTATGCCATAATTTGGGCTGTACCACTCAGGTCCAGGTAAGAAAATGATTCTCTATGGAGAATATTCCTTATATACAGTTTATGAAACAGCAGCTCAGGAAAAAGGTTCTAACTAGACCAACTTTTTAATTGATCCTGCTGGCTTTCTGTGTATGAGGAATATATTACGTGGGGAAGCATTCTTTAGGGTTGTGAAATAGTACAAATTCAGCCATCTAAAGCTTTTTCATACTTGATGTACTGTTTGACAAATTCGGATGTGCGCTTGTATCTTCTTAACAAGAAACAGATCTGAATAGCATTATATGAAGGATAATTATTAATAAGCTAATAGGATCCATGAACTTTTCAGATCATGAACAGATCTGAATAGCATTATATGAAGGATAATTATTAATAAGCTAATAGGATCCATGAACTTGTTAATTTCCAAATTGGGAAACCAAACCAATTAATGAAAATCCTGACTTTTCTTTGCTTTAACTGAGGATGAACAGGGAACTCTAGTTTAATATAAACCAGAAATTGTGCACTGGTCAGTCTGTGCTAATTTCTCACTTCTACTAGGAAAGGTACATCAAACCAGCTCAGAGAGAGAAAAAGATTTGATTTTTCCTCCTCATGCTACTGGCTTGCTAAATCCATTAAATTTCATTTGGCTGGCATAAGGAAAAGCTAACAAATATTTAAACACATGTTTAACTTTTAACTTAATACTGTTGAATACAGAGCTAAAGCAAATGTAAAATTTTCTATTTGATTAAGTGCTGTTCATTTCTGAACATTAAGTATATTCCTAATAACTGCTTTGGTCGTAGATCTTGGGAGAAATAATTAAAATTGGCAAGTTTAGAATGAAATAATTGGTTAATTGTTGAAAAGGCTAAGATAGTTGTTAGGGATGTATTAATAACTTCCAACTTGTTTCCAGAAAGAAGAGATTAGTTACCCTTGATCACATGTTAACCTTGCAAGTGTAAGATTTGCATTCACACAGACTAGTAGAAGTATATAGGAGTACAAGCTGAAGTTCCTTTTGCCACATGAATTCAAATGGAATAATGACAACAAGGCAAAGAAGGAAAATGTGAGTTCATCAAAACGTTAATGTGTCATCTTTGTATAGATATGGATTCTGAGCTTCCTGTGCTTCATATCCCCATATATGAATGGATCTTTGGTTTCTTCTAAACATCTGCTCTGTCTAAAAATTATGTGATTACAATATGGCACTCAAAGTCAGCGCAAAGTCAACACACACAAATACAGCAGCACAGTATGAGCTTTGTGTTGAAGGCAGAGTTATCAGAACAGATATTCAAAGAGAAAGCTACAATGATCTGGATTAAACATTTGGAGATTTGCAGTACTGTATATATTGCGTTAGAAGTTTAATCCTTACAGTAGAAGGAATGATAATGATGCTACTGAACCCAATCCACTCTATTTTTATTCTGCTATGCCCAAATCTTTGGAATAAAAGTGATCTAGATATCACTTAATCCAAACATCTGCACAAAGACAGCAGCCTCTACCATACTGAAATTCCTTCAAGCAATCAGGCCATAAAGGATACAGCTATAATCCTCTATGTCAATATACCATAGCCACAGATCGGGATCAAGCAAAACGTGCCCAGAACAAATGTGATCCAGAGAAGATTAAAGATGATTAATTCCCGCTATAATCAACAGCATGTGTATACTGTTGATTTCTCTCTCTTTTGCTGTACGAAAACAGAATCGATGTGTGAAAAGAAAATGAAACTGTAGCGTCCACTTGTATGATTACCTTTAGAGGGCAGTTGGTAAGCTTTCACACAAGGATAAAGCCAAAATGCACAGGCAGTTCGGTGGTATAAGCACTCTTGAAACAATATAAAAATTTAAAAGGCATGTAGAACTAAGAAGGAAATCACTGAGTTATTTAAACAGGGGTATCCACAGGTTAGGTTAAAATAAAGTCAAGAGGGCATCTGGAACAGTGGATTTGAAACCCACTCCTTTTTATGTGTATTAATGCATGTAAAAAAGAAGTAGGTCACAGAGGCCATCTTGGCTGCTTTAATCTCCCCGCAAACACCCCTAAATCTAACCATCATTATTTTGATTTCAACTATGAGTGTGTTATTTTAAAACTGATCATTTAGAAAGATTATAAAATCTAGCTGAGATATAAGTAGCAGGAACTCAGTTGGTTGGCAGCTTTGGTGGTCTTACAGTCTGAGGTACCTCCAGACCTGTGTGTAGAGTCACCTGCAAGAGAGGGGGGGAAAAGCAAGATTTTAGGACTAAAAATATATGCACAAAGTAGGGGATCATTAGCTAAGGCAGGTTTTGCAGGAACCCACTGAAATGGAATGTTTTTTGAGGACTTTTGAGCATAAAATATAGATGTAATTTTCCCAGCATTCACTAAATCAGAGGTGGGTGCTGCTGGTTCACATCGGTTCGGGCGAACCAGTAAAGATTCCGCGCAGTTCGGTAAACTGGCAAATCCTACCACTGGCTAGCCTTGCCCCTGCTTGTTTTTTGGCCTGTTTTCCGGGCCATTTTCAGGTTGTTTTTTCGGGCCATTTTTTAGGCCAAAAATGGCCTGAAAGCGGCCTGAAAACAGCCTGAAAAATGGCCTAAAACGGCCTGAAGAATGGCTGAAAAATAGGGAGGGGCAACCACTGGTGGGATTAGCCCCAACCAGCTGTATCCCACCTCTGCCCTTGAGGCGAGTGGCCTGGAGGCGGGACTGGGTGTGATGAGTGATGTCACCCATGTGACTGGGTGGGTGACCTCACTCATCATACCCAGTCACATGACCAATCGGCCACATCAACCCAGCCAGAGAACTGGTTGTTAAGTTAGTCAAGTCCCACCACTGCACTAAATCATGATATAGAGGGTGTGTGTGTGTGTGTGTGTGAGAGAGAGAGAGAGTGGCAAGGATAGCACATGGCATAGAGGGTCTGCGGATGAGGAAACCTACCCAAGTGACTTGTGTTCTTCCCCGATGACTTCCCCACTGACTTTCTTAGGGAAGCCAACAGGGAAGTTTATAAATGGTGATTACATGATTGCAGGGCACTGCACTCAGTCATAAGTGTGAATCTGTTGCCAAGTGCCCAGATTGTGATCATGTAATCATGGACAACCAGAATAATGAGGACCAGTCATAACCACTATTCATTCATTCCATTGTAACCTCAAATGATCACTGAAGAAATGGTTGTAAGTTAAAGACTACCTATATATATATATATCTGCTGTTTTCTGTCTGAAGTGCAATTTCAATAGAAGAGAATATATACGTAAATCAGGTTTGAACTCTGGAGTCCTTGTTGTTCCCTGAACTTGAACAGACCCAACCATAGTTTTAACTGGGAAACTACTTGCCTAAAACAAGCTAAATCCAGGAACTTTAGGAAATTTCTGGAAGTTTTGCATTTAGACAAATCGGTAATTAATAGACAATTTAAGATGAATATTTACACATCATTGAAAAGAGACAATTAAAAAAAATAAAGCTAAGAAGAAACAAATAGTCCAGAATGCATCATCTCCAGCAACCAGCATTCAGATAAGCAGAGATTAACACCACAAAAACAATCAAGCAGAAAACAATAATTTAAGGTATTACACAGAAAACTACACTTCCACCAACATTGGCAGGCCAAGCCACCATATATTAATAGGGAGCAATCCCCACGCTCACTAGCATTGATGATGTTCCCTAGTTGGGTAATGTCTGCAATCAGGTTCAGAGAGCAACAAGGACACCACACAGTGCAATTTATTCAACTATTACTTTGAACTGACCTAATCCAATAGAACAGGGGTGGGCAACTATGGCCCTTTTATGACTTGTGGACTTCAACTCCCAGAATTCCTGAGCCAGCCATGTTAGCTCAGGAATTCTGGGAATTGAAGTCCACAAGTCATAAAAGGGCCATAGTTGCCCACCTCTGCAATAGAAGAACATTTTTACCTGAACATTTCGGTTGAGACTTAATGCAGGCATGAAAACACCCTCCACGTTCTCAAATGCTGGAGGGCCCTGCTGCTGCCCATTTATGTAAAATGTTAAGGAGTGCTTGTTGAGATCCAGAAGAACACCTACAGTTGCACCTTTTGAAACACCTCCTTCTGTCCTAAAAAACAAGGAGACAATAATGACGTTAACAACATCAGACTCTGCCATATTTTAATTTTCTTAATGCAGGAATCTCTTAGAAAAGTGCAAGACGCTAAGTAACTCATCACTGCGTCTCTGCTGGGCTTCAGATTAGATTTCAAAAATCTAATTTAGAGTGCATAGGAAAGAATTTGTCTGTATGTAAAACCTGTTTGTACCTGTTTAAAGCAGTTATGTCTTTTCTCAGGATATGTGGTAGCTACACAGTGCAGACAAAAGATCCCCGGAAAAGCTGCAGCTGCTTTAAAAAGTTGCCAATAAATACTATCGATTTATTTGCCTGATTCTAGGAAAAAAATTAATCAGAATAAGGGAATGGAAACAATGACTTCTAAAAGACGTCATTTAGACGTCTTTTACCACAGAACAGAACTATACACAAGAAGATCAGGAGAAGGGGAGAAGTTCATCCCTTACTATCTATCGATCCTTTCTTTTGCATTGGCAGAAAATTAGGTTGAAAGATTACTTTTAACATAAATAAGCACAGTTTAGGGAACTGTTCAGTTATGCAAGTTTAGTGAAAACGTCCAACTGAATAGTGATAGAAAAATAATAGAAAATTAGCTAATGGCAATCTTTTCCTCATTGCCTGAAAAAGTTGGCCAGGAATTTGCTATCCAGATAGGGCAGCTGTAACCAAATGAAATGCAAATTTATAAAAAAATTTCTAATCATATGTATGCTACATTGTTTATTATCCAATTATACCAAGATAACAGTCCATGACTTACAACAGTTAATTTAGTGACTGTTCAAAGTTATAATGGCATTGAAAAAAGTGACTTATGACCATTTTCACTCTTATGACTGTTGCGGCATTCCCATGGTCATATGATCAAAATTCAAAGGCTTGGCACCTGACTCATATTTATGACAGTTGCAGTGTCCTGATATATATATATATAGATAGATAGATAGATAGATAGATAGATAGATAGATAGATAGACAGACAGACAGACAGACAGACAGACAGACAGACAGATAGATAGATAGATAGATAGATAGATAGATATAGAGATAGATAGATATATATTGATATATATATATATATATATTGATATATATGATATATATATTGATATATATGATATATATATTGATATATATGATATATATCGTGAAAAGACATATAAAATTAAAAGAACAGTAAGGAAAGAGAGAGGGCACAAAGCTAACACTATGATTGATTTAGCAAACTCCATTTAAATGCCTTTTTGCTATTTTGCTTCTTCAGTCATTTCATTATAAGTGATGGGAGCAGACCCAGGTTAAAACCAAGAATCTGCTAAATGCCATATCATATTTGGTCCATAAACCTAATGCTGACAAATGTCAAAACAGTTATGTATAGTAACACAGATTTATGAGCTATGTTGGCAGGAATTGGGATGTATGATAAATGTTTCTGAAATGATGGGGTGGCAAGACATTCACTGCACAACTCTTGAAGAACAAGAAGAAAACCTGGATTAAGCCAGAAAGCAGCTTCTTGAATGCTTACCGATTAGTATGGGAGTTGCAATGCATGAACCAACTGCGATTGTTGTCAACATACATTGCCCAGGCTTTGTCATCCTTCCCCAGCATCATGTCCTTGACCACATTGATTCTAGCAATCCCAAAGGCTGGATCCGGATGGTTATCATAACGGTCCACATGCAGCTCCCAATAGTGGACTCCCTTTGAGAAAGCTGCAGTGCCCAGAATCACACGATCATCATAGCTACTGCAGGTAGCAGTCTGGTTGTCATTTGAAAGGACTATGTCTCTATGGGCTGAACAGGGATCAAATGTAAACCAAGCCACTATTAAAAAAGAGAAGAAAAGAGGTGGAGTATACAAATTAGAACAGTGCAACAACTAACTGAATTGTGATGAGCAGTAGCGCTGTATTAATAAATGAAGATCATTCATGATTCTTTGAAATCTAGGAACCCTTATAGACAGTTCGCCTTAATCAACTTTTTAAAGTGTTGAGATTATTACCACATAGCCAATATCATAATCTGAAAAAAAAAATATATGATAACATGCAAGTGGTCAAGTGGTTCAAAAATTTAGGAATTATGAATAAGTGATATCATTTACAGATTATCATCAGATGCATGATCTCTTTAAAAACATGATCTCAAAGTTCTACACGCTCTCTCTATAATATCTAAGAATTAAAAGTGCCATTTATCACCATTCTTCTGTAGATTTCCTTACATGACTTCAATTTGTATCAGTAAACCAAATTTTCCCAATGGGGTTTCCTCCAAATTTGTGGAACTTCAAATCCCATGATTCTCCAAGCCATTCTGTCTGCTGGCCCGAGTTTATAACGGTCAATGTTTAAGAGACTATAGAATTCCATGCTTAGAAAAGATCCGCTATATTTTATGAGAAAGCCTGACTCTTTTTAGCAATATCTACACACCTAATGAAAAAATGAATTATGGATGCAGCAGTTAATATTTTAGTGTGATTCTCATCAAACCAAGTAAAATGTCATCTCATCAAACCAAGATGTGCAATATACTGTAAATCATAGATACGAATATTTATGTATGGAGACCAAACATTATCTTACACAGTACCAATTTACTCCTACTAAGGATATAGACATACATTATTTTTTTATCAAATTGGCACATTGGTTTTAAATATATTTCTTTATTAGTGGGTAGCTTTGTTACAAAAGTCTACTATTCTCTGTAGACTTTTAAAGAAAGGATCTTGGAGAACAAATGTTTTTTTCCCTCCTAATCTAATCTGGCAATGTTAATGTAAGAAAGAAAAGAAGAGAGAGAAATGTTTTATGATTCATAAAGGTTAAGTATAATTAATCAATATTAATTTTAAGTTTAATTATATGGAACTGAAGCTTAAATTCACATGCATATTTTATAAGACGTTATGGAAAATAATTTCCTTGCAGTGAGTTGAAAGGTAATTAAATTCTGCAATTCCTCACTGAATAAAATGGAGGTAGGAACATACACTGAAGCTCAATGAGGATCATTATTGTCATATTAACTTTAAAAACATCTGCAGTTTTTAATGCCTGCCTGCCTGCCTATCTGCCTGTCTGTCTGTCTGTCTGTCTGTCTGTCTGTCTGTCTATCTATCTATCTATCTATCTATCTATCTATCTATCCATCCATCCATCCATCCATCCATCTATTATCTATCCATCCATTATCTATCTATCTATCTATCTATCTATCTATCTATCTATCTATTATCTATCTATCCATCATCTATCTATCTATCTATCTATCTATCTATCTATTTATCTATCTATCATTTGTCTTCTGTCTGTCTATCTATCATCATCATCCATCTACCTACTCAAAATCCATCAGAAAACCTAGCATCTTCTGAAATGTTTTCAAGACTTGACAGATTCTGCCATGGAAAGTGCCAAAACCTCTGGTGCATTATGATATATACATTATCCCAAAATGAATCAAGCTTGTTCAGATGGAACTGAATTCTATCTGAAAGGGAGTTCTTCCAAAAGTTATTAGAAAAGGAATTGCCTTTGATCCTGAAATATTCTGGAAACCAACAAAATCCGGAAAATCTAGTATATTCTAATTGTATAGGTCGATGTTCAAGAAGGAAGCATATATATGTTAAAGAGAGTTGGTGTTAAATGATTCAGATTTATTATTTATTCCTCACTCAATTTCAGAAGCCTGATCTAAAAATTCAAAGCTACTTTTGTAGGAAATACTGTTTTCTTAAAGTTCAACTGATTCCAACTATAAAGAAATTTTAGGAAGGGAAAGTATCTATTTTTTTAAAGACTCACCATCAGAAGTTTGTAAAACAACAGTCTTGCTATAAGGGCCTACCCCGGATGAATTAAAGGCTTTCACTCTTGCATTGTAGGTACTATTGAAATGAAGACCATCAATTGTACACAAGGTTTCCTTGCCCACATATACTTCCTAAACAACAACAACAACAACAAAAGATACAAATGTCCATCAAAAGACCTTAAATTGCTTTTGGACAATTATCACTGTGAGACACAGTAACATGAACGGCAGTTAAGAAAAAATGATACTACAAAGTTATGCATAATTAGAAAAAGCTTGAAGAGTATGATTTCATTAATTTTAAAAGCAATTATTTTCTAAGAAGAGAAAGTCATTAGTATCTGGCTAGATGCAGTAAGGGCTGTCAAAGTATAGGCATATAGTTCTAAGTTGTCCAAGCCTAAAATTTCAAGCCTGGTGGCATAAGGTATTCTGTTGTGAGCAGAGGAGTGGAGTATTCTTCTTATGAAATACCTCTGGACCTGCTCAATTGTATTAATGTCCGATATACAGTGCGGATTCCAGGCAGACGAGCTGTATTCGAGAATTGGTCTAGCAAAGATTTTGTATGTCCTAGTTTGCAGTACAATATTACCAGAGAAGAAGCTTTGCAATATTAGGTTAACAACTCTTAATGCCTTTTAGGCAATGCTGTTACAGTGAGCTCTGGCACTTAGATCGTTTGAGATGAGTACTCCAAGGTCCTTGACAGAGTGAGGGTCATCTACGAGGTTGTATCCACCCAGCTTGTATTTGGTGTTCTGATTTATTTATTTTTTGCCAATGTGTAGGACAGAGCATTTGTTGGTTGAGATTTGGAGTTGCCAATTGTTTGACCATTCTGGCACATAGTCAAGGTCACTTTGTAGGGGGGGAAATGAAAAGGCTCCAGCAGCATGCACAAAAACCATAGCAGTTGCATTGGCCAAGACCTGCAGAGGGACCCTTTAATTTAGGATCCTCCCTTCCTCCCTCCAGATCTTGTTTGGATCTTCCTTGACTGCAAAAGGAAGAAACATTGGGCTCCCATTTCTGATACTAAGCTTGCCCATCATAGGGCAAGCACACCAGCATTTGCCCAAGAAAGCCAAACATAAATATAACAGGAACAAAAACTCACTCGAAACTGGCCACCATCTCCATCATCAAGCTCCAAGATGTATCCCTCCACTGGGTTGTGGCTAAAGGGCGGCATCCGCCAGGCAAGTGTCACACTGTTGTTTCGAGTACAGCATTTCTCCAGCTGCAGGAGTGGCACTGGGGGTACTGAAAGAGGAACTGAGCACAGATTAGTGCAACTCTGCCCTTACCTTTCGGGCTGCACATATAGTGAGCCACACAACATTCATGTAAAAAACATAACGGACCCTCTTAGACCACCCAGTTTACAGCCTGAGTTCTGAAATGGCAATCCTGACACCCGCAACCTCATCATGATTACCTCAAAATTGCCCTTAAACTAATGTGGAAAGAACTGAGCAATCAAACATTGAGAAAGTCACCATCTTGCCATCTTGCAAACTTCATCTTGGCATATGACGACTCAGCTAGCTCAGTGTTTCTTGACAACTTTAAGGTGTGTGGATTTCAATTCACTGAAGGTGAAGGTGACATCTACACATCTAAAAATTGTCAAGGTTGAGAAACACTGAGCTGGACAAGTTTTGTCTAGTTTTGGTTTACGTTCAGTGCTGTTCTTTAAGTGGCCAACCTGTCAGTGGATTTAATGGGCCTGTGAATGGGAGCTGTATTTCTTGAGCAGCTGCTCTGTAATGCAGCCCAATGCAATTTGCCTAGTCAGGATGCAGAAGCAATGTGATCGGCACTCTGTGCCATATCAAAACCTTATACAGCAGTTGCAGTACTCAGAAGAGGCTTCCTATACTTTCCTCCGTGTTTACTATGGGCGAGCGAGGGCCAGTATTTGTTCATTTGCAAAATCCATGGAGCAGGTGAGGGAAAGCTTCTTCCTGCAAAAGTTCCATTGCTTGGTTGCATTTTTAAAGCTTCTTGAAAATTGCAAAGGTGCAATGAGTGCTAAAAAATTGAAATATCTTATTTCACCCTATGGGCCCATTGTGTCAGGTAATCTCTCTATGAACTCATATTAAAATTCTTCTCCCTGTGCACTAAGTTTTAATGAATTTCCCTTTTCCCTGTATCAGGTTCCCTGCAGTAGCTATTAAGTTTTTAAAAAGTGAAAGGAAAAAAAGAACAGTAACACATTTAACATCGTTTTGTTTTGTTTTTTAATTTGATTTATATGCCGCCCTTCTCCGGAGACTCAGGGCTGCTTACAATGCGTTAAGCAATAGCCTTCATACTTTTCTATATTTATACAAAGTCAGCTTATTGCCCCCACAATCTGGGTCCTCATTTCACCTACCTTAGAAAGGATGGAAGGCTGAGTCAACCTTGAGCCTGGTGAGATTCAAACTTACAGTAATTGCAGACAGCTGGTGTTAATCACAATGCTATCAGTCTGCTGAGCCACCAGGCCCGTTTTTAGTAAATCATTGCAAGCACATTAATTTCCGAGGCTTCTAACTGTTGTAAAATGAATTGCTGTTCCATATGTATGTCACACAGTATTGTTAGAATAGAAATGGATGATGGTTCTTAGATCATAAGAGTTGTTCTTAAGCACACATGCAAATGGCTTTTCTTCAATTTTGTCCTGACATTTAATTTCGTTTAAGGCTGAAACTGCTATATATTATTAGCACACTTCACTTCCTACTTTTCCTATTCACCTACATTTCTCAGTGCCAAGGTAATTTTAATCGGTCTCTTTATCATATACCTCTTCCTTTATTAATATTCTTGGAACCTTCTAAAGAGCTATGCATAACTGTGCAACTAACTGATGTATATTTTAATTGCACAGTTGCCCATAGCTGTACAGAACAGAAAGCAGATATTGAAAACATCAAGCATTTTTTTTTTCAGATTACTGACATTTTAAGAGCCAGGTCTGGGAAGGCTGGGAATTCAGGAAATGTGCTGGTTTCCTGCTAGTTTCCCAGCTGCAAACCCACAAAAGGAAAAATGAGCAGAAAAACTGCCAGCCCACTTCGGGTGGTTAAAGTTATTTTCACTTTGATCCAACGAAAGCTTATCAACTGTCTGTTCAGAAAACTCCTGTATAACTAAAGTACAAAAGATAGAAAAACATCACAGTTCAGAAAATGGGCTCTTATATCATAAGTAGCAGTTCTGGAGTCTACATCTATCAATTCCAAACTGCTTGGTCCTTGGAAAGAGATTTGGGGATTTGTTACCCAAAACACCTAGAAGCATTAGTTTGTCTACCCCTATCATGCTGCCTAAGAAAATGAGTAAACATGATGGTCTTCATATGCAATTGGTTTGTATTTACTGTTGTATTTGATACAACAAATACAAAGGAAAGCTTTTGAGAAAATTATAACTTAGCATTTTTTACTTTTTAAAAGTATATTAGTTCCTAATTGAAGCTTTCTACCCGGAAATAGAAAAGTATCAATCATTAACTAAAATATCGAGCATTCATTGAGATTATTATTTGTGCTTCTTAGAATCATGGAAAGAGAAATGGAAATTATTCAACCTCTAAAAAGTGACTTTCATCTGGAGAACTGAGCCCTAGCTCTTGGTCTAGACGACTCTCCCTTTCACAGCCATTCTTTGCAATCCCATACAAAAGGGAAGGAAAATCAGCCTACAAAAGCTCACCCCTACATTTCATCTGAATGAAGTCCAGCTGATGGATTGACTGCAGCAATGGTTCACTATCCAATGTCAGATCGAATTCAGCAGATACTTTTGGTTCCAGGGCTCCTTTGACCCACTGCTCCTGAGATACTTGAACACGTTTGATTAAAGCATCTGAAATCTGAAAAAAGAACACTTTTTTTTTGCAGACTAGACAAAGCTATTGAAGAATCAGTTCATCTACTGGAAGGCAAGGATTTGTGATCCCAATCACTCAAGGAATGAGCCCCCTGAGGCAGGTGAGTCGATTTTTGGAGATTTAGGTCTTAAGACTTTTAAATCAAGTAGCAAATATTTTCAGCTAGCTTCTGAAGGTGGGATGCACAGTGAAAACTAATATGTCAAGAAACTAATCAATTTCAAATGAGGCTTACAAGAATCCACCTTTCTCCATCTTTGTCACGGAATTGGATGGAATAAGCCATATAAAAATATATGAGGTTGGTATGACAGCATTTATCACTTCCAGACTAGAATCCTTCATAGTGTTGTGGCCCGCCAGTGGCCTGCGAAGCTAGCAGCAGAGTTGGACAATGAGGAGGTTGGGGAGGAACATGGGCCAGTCCTGGAGTCTGGGGAAGGTTCAGACGAGGGCTCTGTGTCAGAGGCAGAGAAAGAGCCACCTGGGAGGTACGTGCTGCCTCCGGAGCCTCCAGAGTCTGACCTCAGCGAGGCAGAGAAAGAGGGGGAGCCTGTTCCCAGTGCGCGCATGCGCAGAGCTGCCAGAATGCAAGAACAGTTAAAACAAAAAGGACGGCTCGGGAGTAGGGCTTGGAGATGATTGGCTCAGGGGTGAAATCCAGCAGGTTCTGACAAGTTCTGGAGAACCGGTAGCGGAAATTTTGGGCAGTTCGGAGAACCGGTAGCGGAAATTTTGAGTAGTTCGGAGAACCGGCAAATACCACCTCTGGCTGGCCCCAGAGTGGGGTGGGAATGGAGATTTTGCAATATCCTTCCCCCAGGAGTGGGGAGGGAATGGGGATTTTGCAGTATCCTTCCCCTGGAGTGGGGTGGGAATGGAGATTTTGCAGTATCCTTCCCCTGCCATACCCACCAAGCCAAGTCCAGCAAGCCACACCACATCCACCAAGCCACGTCCACAGAACCAGTAGTAAAAAAATTTGGATTCCAGCACTGGATTGGCCCCTTCCATAAGACTTAAAAGAGAAGCAAAGGCACATGGGCCTTTGCAGGAAGCAACATTGTTGATTCTGTACAGTTTAAAGCCTGAAGCTCTGTTTGATTCTGGACTCCGTGTGGCTTTGCCAATTAGGTCTTTGGCAGCGTGTCAAGGGAGATAAAGGTGGGTGATCATCCTGAAGGGCATATCCCGAAGGACTATTTACAATTATTTGGGACTCATCTGTGAATGAACAGAATTCACAGCTGTTGCAAGAGGTTTTTGGGACTACTCGTGTGTTTTACCGACTCAGGAAGCCTAGGTCAGACACATTAGAGGTTGGTCATTTATCTCTAAGACAAATGATAACTTACCTGTAAGAAACCAGAAGGATCGTTTTCTTTGATTACTTCTAGGCAATATTCCATAAGTCCTGTTGACTGCCGCAGTTTCAGAGTGCAGTGGTTTATCTGATCCCATACAACCTAGGGAGGGAAAATGCCTGTTGATCTCTTCAACATTCACTGAACTGAGGAAATATTTTTGGAACCACTAGCAGAAGGAAGAAGAATTTCATGGAATAGTATTTGCTTAGACAAATTGTCAGCCTTTTGAGTAATGCACCCATTGAAAGCAGGTAGATTCCTCAAAGTAAATGTTTATTGGATACATCGTATCGGCACAGCCGGTGAAAACCAACTCTAAAGGTTCACGCAGTTTTCACCTAATTAAAAGAGTAAAACTCCCCACATCCCTAGTGTCATCAGTGACATTGTCCAATGAATATAGTTGACAGGCTCCTCTCCTCCTTCACCAGCTACCTGTTACAATGACCTTGGTTCCCACAGGAAAACTTTTTATTTTGACTGTACGCTGAGCTATCTACTTCCCCCTTCGCTTCCCCTCTCAGGCTTCGTGGCAACTGTGAGGCAGCCCAAGATGGCTTCAGCCAGGTTCGCTTCAGAGTTGACACAAAGATATTGATATCATCTTTTTTTAATAGCTCCAACTATAGGCTCTACATAGGTTCTGATATTAGGGAGGTCAACGGCATATAAGGCAAGTTCAACTTGCAGGGGAAGATTCTAAAAAGGTTCAGGATCCATTTATATTTATGGCTGAGTTATTTGAATCTCAGAGGTGTGTGGCTTGTGGCTTCACATGTATAGATTAGATATGGCAAATTAGGATCTAGGACTATAAAGGATTCCTTGTATGCTCTTGTATCCTTTTCTCTCATAAAATTCAGTAAAGATGCTGAACAATTAATGTAAAGCTTTAGAACTACATATTCAAAAACATGTATTTTAAAAATGATCAGGTTCCTCTATTCAGCGGGTATGAATAAAGTTTTCACTCACCTTTAGCTTGTGCTCACGCTCTTTGGTAACTTTTGTGAGCAGTTTGGCCTTTTGGCGAGTCAAAGCATCAACTAAAGCATCACACTGAGCAACCAGACAAGCTTCATAGTCCAAGCCATTTTCCTAAAAAAAAAGATGTAGGACAACATTTACCTTTATAGTCATATTCCGAGGACACCAGAACTAGTGTGTGTAACCAACAGTTGTTTTTCTGCTCTTTTCTAAACACTTTGGAATCATACAGGTTATTTATAATAACTAATTAGCATCCTGAAACCAGTTTCCTATTGCTATAGAATGTCTGCAAGTATACTACTAAGAGGATGATTCTGACAGAAGATAAAAATATCCTTTCCTAACTTGGCACCATTAAATTTTTAACATCCTCCATGCTTTGTTAGGGGTGATGTTTGTATAAATTCTTGGGTGTTATTAATCAGGATTGTTTCTTTCTTTCTCTCCCTTCCTTCCTCACATTTCTGAACTGCCAACTCCCTTATTTTCCTGTGCAAATCCTGCTCCTGATTGAGAAGCTCAGCTGTTGGAATCACATCCATGATAATGCAGAGGTCCTGTTCATTTCAACAGAATTCATACAGGATATTGTGGATTTTGGGTACATAGCAGAGGTGAAATCCAGCAGGTTCTGACAGGTTCTGGAGAACCGGTAGCAGAAATATTGAGCAGTTTGGAAAACCGGTAGCAGAAATTTTGAGTAGTTCCGAGAACCAGCATTTACCACCTCTGGCTGGCCCCAGAGTGGGGAAGGAATGGAGATTTTGCAGAATCCTTCCCCTGCCACGCCCACCAAGCCATGCCCACCAAGCTACACCAAGCCACACCACGCCCACCAAGCCACGCCTACAGAACCTGTAGTAAAAAAATTTGGATTTTACTACTGGTACATGGATTCCAGACTAGTAAGGCAGTGGAGGCTTTGAGTGGAAAGTACCATAAAGCTGCAAGTTTTACAATCATGTTCAATTAGACAGAAACATGTCAGCATATTCTCACACCATGCTACCGCTCATACATATTCATTTCTCTCTCTCTAATATACAAATTGACATAGGTATACTTGATGCCAATGTCTTGCATAACTGAACATGTTCCCTGAAAATACGGAGGAAGCAAGATTGCCGAATAAAAGAGAAATAATGAATATTCTCCCTCCCAGCAAATTAATCTTAAGGCCATTGTGAAAAACCAATTGGTTGAGGAATGGGGTTGAAGGTAAATTTCCCATTATGATCTGTGATTCCAAGCATTGGATTGGGTTGTACTGAGCTTTTATTGACTTGGTTTAGCCTCCTAAATAGCATCACTGCAATTGAACAAAAAAATTGCCCAGTAGACTTGCCATTGTACAGTTTTGTTATGGCCACTCAAAGCAATGTACAAAAAAGCTCAAATTCTGTATACATTACCTGTATCTGCTGTAAAATATTTTTCAGTTGCACCAAAAATTCTTTTGCTTCTTTTGCTTTGTCTGAAATGCCGTTCAAAGCCTGGGACAGTTGTGCCTGGAAGGAATAAAAGATGAAATTATCTACCACTATTCATGCCTTCCTGCCTGCCTTTCTATTACAAGCCCTGGCAACTGTACCTAAAAAGACTGAGATTTTACTTAAAAGGCGGATGGGGGATGAAGACTTGGTGTTGAGCTGGGATCATGGAGACCCAGATTCAAGTCCGCCTTCAACCATGGAAGCTCAGTGGATAATTTCAGCTACTTGTTCTCTCCATCCAATACATCTCATCGGCTTTTTATGGGATAAAATGGGAGAAAGCAAAACTCTGTATGCCCCCTCGAGCTTCTGGAGAAAAGGTAGCAAATCAAATAAAGTAATAAAAAGCAGCATCTCCTTTATGTATTTATTTATTTTATTTATTTATTTATTTTTCAGATTTCTATACCGCCCTTCTCCTTTCGGACTCAGGGCGGTGAACAGCCAAAATAAAACATTTGTACACAAAAGTTAAAATAGATTTAAAATAATTAAATAAAGTTTGGCCCATAATTTAAAACATTTCAATTAAAATCAATATCAAATTTTAAAAACCAACCATAAAATCAGGACAGCCCGGCTAACTGAAAAAAATAGGTTTTAAGGGCCCGACGAAAAATCCGGAGGTCTGGGATCACTCTTATCTCTGGGGGTAGATTGTTCCAGAGGATAGGTGCCACCACAGAGAAGGCTCTCCCCCTGGGGGTTGCCAGCCGACATTGTCTGGCCGACGGCACCCTGAGGAGGCCCTCTCTGTGGGAGCGAACTGGCCGGTGGGAGGCAATTGGCGGCAGAAGGCAGTCCCGTAAATACCCCAGCCCTAAGCCATGGAGCGCTTTAAAGGTGATCACCAACACCTTGAAGCGCACCCGGAAGTCCACCGGAAGCCAATGCAGCTCGCGCAGGAGAAGAGCGCCCCGTCGCTCCCATAATCCTCTGCGTGGCTGCATTCTGCATTTACTGATATACAGCTTTGCGAACCCTATAAGCCGCTCCTGTCTGCTGACTCTATATGGTACATATCAGCCCAATACATAATGGGACTAGACTAGACTAGACTAAAATAAAATAAAATAAAATAAAATAAAATAAAATAAAATAAAATAGAATAGAATAAAATAGAATAGCTTTATTGGCCAAGTGTAATTGGACACAAAAGGAATTTGTGTCCGGTGTATAAACTGAGTATGTGTACAAAATTTACAAGCAACAACCAGAAAACATTTCTCCCAGTGAGAAATTCTCCCAGTGAGAAAACATTTCTAACAGTGAGTCAATACTTGTATTCCATGATCCTGAATCTTGGAGCATTATGTCAAGATATTTGAAGCTCCTCACTTGTTCAGTGTCCTGCCGTCCTATTACCCTTTGTAATTTTCCTACATTTTTAGCAACAAAGCATCACGTTAGCCTCATGAAAAAAATTATACCAAACCGATGCTACCTATAATACTACACCAAATGTTTTGAGTGCAGGTTGAGGGCAGTTGGAGTCCTTAAAATAATAGCCACCATCATCAGCATATAGCAGAAGAGAGAAATTCATAGCTGTTAATTTAGGGAGATGAAAATTTAAATGGGATATACTGTATACAGCAACTACATTAGGGAGTGAATTTTGGACTGATAACTTAATCTAATTCTAGGATAGGATAGGATAGGATAGGATAGGATAGGATAGGATAGGATAGAATAGAATAGAATAGAATAGAATAGAATAGAATAGAATAGAATAGAATAGAATAGAATAGAATAGAATAGAATAACAGAGTTGGAAGGGACCTTGGAGGTCTTCTAGTCCAACCCCCTGCTTAGGCAGGGAACCCTACACCACTTCAGACAAATGGTTATCCAATCTCTTCTTAAAAACTTCCAGTATTGGAGCATTTACAACTTCTGGAGGCAAGTTGTTCCACTGATTAATTGTTCCAACTGTCAGGAAATTTCTCCTTAGAACTTAGTCGCTTCTCTCCTTGATTAGTTTCCACCCATTGCTTCTTGTCCTGCCCTCAGGTGCTTTGGAATAGTCGTACAATTTCTGAATAAACAACAGCACCTGCCAATCAATAACACAATCCCTGTTTTTCCCATACAAGGGCCTCCAAAATTAAACCAAATGCTGATTTAAAGACCACATAATGTAAAATGTGCCTTCAATGTATTTTTCAAATGACATAAAAGTAGAATATGATTTAATATGGAATAGACAGATCTGAAGCCCACCTGGTCCTGGCTTAGAATAGTTTTTGTTCACTAGCCATTCTTGTAATTACTATTCTAAATGCTAAATGTTACTGAAAATGTTAGGAGACTAATAGGTCAATAGCTGACAGGCTCACCCCTTTCCCCTTTTCTGAAAATTGGGACAATTAATTCCACTCCCCAATACTAGGGTATAATATTGTCAGATTGATCTATATATGAAAAAGTGAGGCCATATCAGGAACCCACTAATCAACATTACATTTCAATATCACAGCCAGAAGCCTCACCTAATATTAGAATGTTAATAAGCCTCCTTACTTCAAACCCTGAGACTAGTAGCCAGGGGTGAAATCCAACAGGTTCTGACAGGTTCTGGAGAACTGGTAGCGGAAATTTTGAGCAGTTCGGAGAACTGGCAAATACCACCTCTGGCTGGCCCCAGCAGTGGGGAGGGAATGGGGATTTTGCAGTATCCTTCCCCTGGAGTGGGGTGGGAATGGAGATTTTGCAGTATCCTTCCCCTGGAGTGGGATGGGAATGAGGATTTTGCAGTATCCTTCCCCTGTCACGCTCACCAAACCATGCCAAGCCACGCCCATAGAACCGGTAGTAAAAAAAAAATGGATTTCACCACTGCTAGCAGCCAATCAGGGAAGGTCTTGTTATTTTGCTGTAAAGCAATAGGTTCTTCTTCCTAAGACCCATAGACAGTTTTAAAGGAAGCTTCCCAAACAGCCATTGGGGACTAGCCTGCTGAATGAAATGAGTTATTATTACCCAGATACAATTTGCCAAACTAAAGAGGGGGTTTTATGTGCAGAGAACAAAGGTTGCCATGGTTTTGTTGAAGCCACTTTGAATGATTTGTATTTTTTTCAGTTTGAATAATTTAGAAATGAATATTACTGCAGAGACTTTGAGATATAATGTATGCTAAGTTTCTTCTGACAAAGCACCATCCCTTGTATTAAAACATTGTTTACCTTGCTTCATTTGCAGAGTTCCTGGAGGCTCCGACTCAGTACATTGGAGTAACTGGCACCTGTTCTGGCGTTTAGCATGGTTTTCCTTTATCTCAGGGGCATTTAGAAGATTTAGGGGTGGATGGGAGTATCCTAATTTTCATCTGGTAACATCTTTATCTGGGCCTCTACAGATAGATGGGGCTGGGAGAGAAATGTCATATCTGACTAAGGAACAGGAAAAAACTCATCCTTCTCTTCCCTCCCAATTCTCTCAAAATGTACTTCTGAAGACACCCAGAATTGGTCCTTCACGGAAATTATTGCAAAGCATAACAGATTTTATATATTGCCTTTGGTGTTGGAATACTGTAAGGAGGAAAGCTTTACTTCTGTGCCAGTGCAGCTATTACTTATCTCCCTCATGGGTTAAGTAAAGGTAAAGGTTCCCCTTGCACATATGTGCTAGTCGTTCCCGACTCTAGGGGGCGGTGCTCATCTCTGTTTCAAAGCCAAAGAGCCAGCGCTATCCGAAGATGTCTCCGGGGTCATGTGGCCGGCATGACTAAATGCCAAAGACACACGGAACACTGTTACCTTCCCACCAAAGGTGGTCCCTATTTTTCTACTTGCATTTTTTACGTGCTTTCGAACTGTTAGGTTGGCAGAAGCTGGGACAAGTAACGGGAGCTCACCCCATTATGCGGCACTAGGGATTCGAACCGCTGAACTGCCGACCTTTTGATCAACAAGCTCAGCATCTTAGCCACTGAGCCACCGCGTCCCTCATGGGTTAGGAGGAGATTAAGGAAATGCTGGGGGAACAAGGCTAGTGAGGTTGGGGGCATGATTATCTCATGGTTACATATAAGGGTTGTCAAGGCCAAACGAACATGAATAGACACACACACACACACACACACACACACACACACACACACACACAATGCTCTTTTAAATATGCAGGCTATCTCTTACCACAGAAGAATCCAAGCATCTTGGCAAACAACCAAGATAAATATTTAGCTATACTGTTGAAAATGATCACCAATATTCTCTGCAGCCCACCGACTCTTTCACAATAAACTGAAAGATTTCCTTTGAAACTAAGTGGCGATGTTGTAAATGCCACTGAGGTTGTCTACAGCTACATTCAAGCAATGATTGTAAACAGGGCTGGGTTATTTTTCAGAGAATTTTCTTAATCCCTTGTGCATAAATCTGTCAATAAAGGAGCCCATGCAAAAAACAGGACTTCTATCGATTCCTTGAATAAGCATCAATTCTGCAATTCCTTCTCAGATAAGGGTTCATTTGTTATCCTGGGGGTAACAGCTGCAACAGAATATTATTGATTTCTTTCTGATCTGGTTGCTGACTACAGTTTACAGGATGTGGGACTATGGAGGCCCACTTTCCAAGGCTATTTCAGAAAAGCCAAATAATGGCATTGTCATTTCTATAATAACTACTTTACAAGATAAGACCAACAACCAGCTCTCAGAAGCCACCCAGAGGTTTCTTCGGAGAGAAGCATGAACAAATTCATATTAGTCCCTATCTATGGACTAATTAAAATAATTACTAATTAAAATAATAAAAAGCTGTTAGGATACTAACCAATTTGGCTTGCTACATTATTATGTAATTATTAAATTTTAACCCCACCTTCATCATTTGCCATTCTTGAACCTATCTATCCATCTAGGAAGCATATACTACTCAACAAAGTAGATCTCTTTTTTTCAGAACAAAGAGCTCGCCAAGCTTTTTGTTAAGCACAATCTATTGTTAAATGTGCAAGCCACAGTAAACAGCATGACTGAAGTTGATTGTATTAACGGATTG